AATTAAATAAATATAATCGTGCCACAGGTAGTTGACAATGATTTGATAAGGTCAAAGGCAATTCTAGTGATAGGCTATCATACACATTTCTAGCTGCAAGAAAGAGTGCCTGAAAAATGTTGCTTGATTTGGCTTAAGTGTATATAATTTCGACTCGGACTCGAACACGGGACTCAAGACTCGACTCGGACTTGAACTCAGGTAATGGTGACTCGACTTGGACTCGACTCGGACTCTTCTTTGGTGACTCGGACTTGGACTCGGACTCGAACTCGAACACTGGGACTCGAGACTCGACTCGGACTCGACAGTTGGTGACTCGACTACAACACTGGTATGAGGTGACACCACAGGACTGATGGGAGACGATGACAATTGAGTGATCCAGCTCTCAGATTTAATCAAAAATATCTTAATTTGTGTTCCGAAGATGAACGAAAGTCTTACGGGGTTGGAACAACATGAGGGTGAGTAATTACTGACAGAATTTTCATTTTGGGGTGAACTAACCCTTTAAGTCATCCAGAAACACGGTCAACTAGTAGGCCACATGTCTGTGCAGCTTTAGTTGTCTTTAGCTGTTTCTAATAATTCCAACACTGTGTTTACTGAAAATACAACAGTGATAAGGATGTCTGTGGAGCTGGAGATGATGCAGATAAGACTTGTGATAAATGGTGAAAAAAACAGACGTTTCCAGTTTGTAATGACCTCTGGGCATCACTTGCATTCATTTCACATGCAAACACTCCAGATAAAAGAAGACCATCTTAAATGTCTTCAGCTCCAGGTTTATGTTATTTTCACTTTCACATAATTCCAACATTAACCTCTTAAGGCCCAAGCTGATTTTTTACATGCATTTTTTAATTCTCTTTGCTATTTGGGCTTATTAGAACCTAATTAGAATAAAAACTAAGAATCATCTTTTGATATGATGTACTTTTAGAGAAAAATGATGTCCACATATGTGGACTCATGGTCCGAATTTCCATAAAACACAATAAAGTCACCTTTGTGTAATAGAATGAAAAACCCTTTATTTCTGCCTTGAACACAGCAGTTTTTTTCCTGACTGTTTTTTAATGTATTAATAACACATACACACATATTTTTTAACATGTTTTGACTATCAGAGAGTAAAAACAACATGGAAACATTGCAATATTTAAAAATGTATACGATGGTTAATAGGGAGCCAATGCAATGTTGACATAACCGGGCAATATGGTCATACTTCCTGGTTCTGGTAAGAACTCTAGTGGCTGCGTTTTGAACCAGCTGAGGTTTGTTTATTAAGCGTGCAGGGCAACCACCCAGTAGAGCATTACAATGATCTAGCCTTGATGTAATGAACTAACTGTTCCACATTTTTCATTGAAAGCACATGACGTAATTTAGATTTTTTAGTTTTAAAGTTGGTAATTGCTAGTCATCCAGTTTTTATATCAGCAATGCATTAGGTTTTTTTGTATTGGCAAGTTTCGTCGGGCGTGAAGAAATATAGAGCTGAGTATCATCAGCATAACAGTGAAAACTAATGCCATGCTTCCTAATGATATCTCCCAAGGGGAGCATGTATAGAGTGAACAGCAACGGTCCTAGTACTGAGCCTTCTGCCTTGTGGTACACCATACTGAACTTGTGATCAATAAGACATCTCTAAGGGATCATCGTTATCAGACACATCCAAATCTGTGTTATCTCCATCAATTAACCCAAAGTAGCTCCAATGCTCTTTGCACAGAAAAACGCTCTGGAAATAAAAACATGATAAAATCAAATACAAATTAATTTAATTTATGTAGGTTTGCATTATTTATTTGTTATTTATTCCAATGGGATAATATACAAGCTAATTTACATGTGCACATTTTTACTAGCATATTACATTTTTACTAACATTTTCAACCCAACTAATTTAAGTATGTACGTATGCATTTAGTGATTTAATTGTTATTTATGTCATTGGGACCATGTGCACCTTTTTAGCTGCATCAGAGCTAGCTTTTTTCCCATTTTATGTTTGTGCATGTTTACTAGCATATTAGCTGTTTCGAGGAGCTTCAGTCCATAAGTACACATACGTGTACTTCATGTTTAGCGACCTACAAAGTTGGTAGTTTTGCACTTTTTTTTCAAATTTGCATGTCATGACAAATATACAAGGCTTTTATAAATATCTAAATCAGAATAAGCCATGAAATATTACAGAACTTCTTAACTGGTCGACGTTTGTGTATGGAGCTACCACTTGAATCTTTCCTTGTGTTTGCCGCCATTTTGAATTTTGACCATAGTGTGTTATAAATTTCTGACACTACCAGATGCCAGTATAAGTACCCCCATACGTGTCCATAACACCACCAATTCAGCAGTGAACACAATTGTGGACATAAGAGCAAAAATGTGCTGTCCACGTATGTGGCCACTAAGCCCTAGGAGGTTAATGAACAGAGGAACTTTCCTCCTGCTGGCCTCCTTACTGTAGAAATGCAACTTCAGTCATGATCCACAATGTTCAACAAGTGGCTAATCTGTGAATCCAAAGAGTATCACAGTACTACTCTTGTCAATTTACAATACAACGGCTCAGTGGGTTGCACTGTTGCCTAATGAAAGAAGGCTGAGCTATAAGACCTTGGGATTTCTCCTCGGCATGCAGAATAGGTGAATTATTACTAAACATTGCCTCTGGGTCTAAATGAATTTATGTGTTAGCCCTGTGATGAACTCACCATCCATCCAGGGTGTTTCCTTGATCTCCGCCTAAGACGCTGGGAAAGGCTTCATCATCCCCGCTACACGACATAGGACAGCAGTTTGGAAAATGGATGGATGTCTGATCTCTGTACAATAGTACTATTTCTGTATCTAAAACTCTATTATGCATACTCTACATTCATGCTTCTGCAATGCAGTATCCAAGCACATTTTGACCATTCTGAAGCTGCGCGATGAAAAGCAAAAATGAGGAGATTGTTAAGTATCTGTCTTCCTGAAAATGAGCTTTAAGAAGTGTTCTGCTTTTGATGCAGAAACAGTAGATTCGGGTTTCAATTTCTATTTCTGCTATGTCAAAACAGATGGGGGAAGATCAAATTAGTATTAATGTTTAGTGCAGTCCTTAGTATACAAAGCATCATTGTGAACAAGCTTTTAGAGAGGATTTTCCAGTGTTTTTCTGCTAGTAATTTTTAATGATTTTTTTCTCCTCTTGGGACTGCTAGAGCAACAACACAAGCTCAAGTGAGACCAAGCACTTGAATAAACCAATGAATGAGACTGTCTCTATCATGGGAACAATACGTTTAACCCAATAGGTTCTTCACATTTTTCAAACTGAGTCTCAAAGGCATATATCGCTGTAGAGAAGAACCACATTTCAGAAAACTCTTTTTATCCAAAAAAGGTAGTCGATGGGAAGATTGTCTGATTATTTTATGATCTGAGTCCCATCAGTGGAAAGATAACAGGTCAGACAGGATGGACGTTACTTTGAAGTCTTTCTCTCCTGTTCTTTGTTTTTCTATCTCTCTGAGGAGAAATATAAGGAACACATGGTCTGTGGGTGAAAAACAATTGAAAAGCTTTTAGATTCTCAATAAAAAAACATAATGCTGTGTTATTTTTTGCTCCCTTTTGCATTTCATTGTTAAACAGCATTTATGTTGTCTGAGTTTAAATTGTATTTTCTGTTCATAGATATAATTTTTAATTTGTATTCTCTGAAATTGTGTTCACAAAAAAAAAAAAAACTGATAAAAGCATAACTGTGATACAAACCCAAAGTCTGAATTGGATTTTCCCCAGTGTGTTTGGTAAATTGGTAAAGGGGGTTTGATACGGAGATATGCTTTTTAGCTACATTGTGAGGGAGAACGCTTGGGATTTTTACATAATAGGGAGTGTTATATATTTGTCGCTTTATGAGTGAGTGTTCTTCATACTACTTAATATTTCTTCATGCTGAGAAAATGGCTGCTGAAAATTCATTTAACCATTCATATATTTGTTTACATCTGTTCGGTGCTGAGGGAACTGACTAGCAGCGACATCCTGTGGGTCTTAACCTATACAGTATTGAGGGTAAAATTGTTTTTTCTTCACAAAGTAGGGTGGAATGGAGTAAAAAAGTGATTCATTTGTATATGTGAACATATACATCCACATGAAAGAGATATTAATTATGGACTATATTAGAAATACAAGTATATTTAAAGGTAAATAATGGCATGCGCCTGTCAATGTTTATGCTTTTAAGATACGTATGTGTTCTTTGTGTGTGTAAATACACTATTGTCCATTCCATTTCAGCTTTGTTTCTCATTTTGAAAGGATATTCTTAAGCAGCATTATAGAGAGAGAGAGAGAGAGAGAGAGAGAGAGAGAGAGAGAGAGAGAGAGAGAGAGAGAGAGAGAGAGAGAGATGAACAGATTGTCTTACTGTTCTTGGATATTTATTTCCCTGTAGAAATGTGTTACTCTCTCTCTGTCTCCCTGTGCACCCGCTCTGTACAAATTGACAGCCGTTTCTCTTTCTGAAACCTCCAGCTGGCAGCTCAGCATAATAAACATGCAAACATGGGTGGAAGTAAAAATAATTCTCGTTTATTTTTCGCTTTCGTACAGACCACTTAAATTTTATGGAATAAACATTTCCGTGGTTCCAAATTAGTCAATGCAGAGTGAGGCTTCAGTTGTATTTCTGAGGCTGGGAACGGAAACATTTTTGCCATTAAAGGTATATTTTTAACCCCAAAAATGAACATTCTGTCATCAAATGTTCATGTCATTGCAAACATGTACGAAACAGATATAATAGCAATATTTTAAAAAAGCATCAGAAAAGTCTCATAAAAGTAGTCCACTCATAAAGTTGACCATAGAGTCACCCCTTGTAGGGTCCATAAGCTTTCACATGTCTGCTTAATACCTTGTTTTTTCTTACACTATCTCTCTCCCTCTCACAAATCCTGTCTGTTTCTTCATTTTGATAGCTGTGTGGTGGATGAGATGGATTTCTCTGGGATGGAGTTGGATGAGGCTCTGAGGAAGTTTCAGGCTCATATCCGTGTGCAGGGTGAAGCGCAGAAAGTGGAGAGACTGATAGAGGCATTCAGGTGAGACTCCCGACATTGTTACACTCTCTTGCACACACACACACACACATAAACGCTCCACCTTCATGTGTGAGGGGAAGATAAGTGTAGAGGCTGATGGGATACCTGTGCTCATGAACTTTTTTCATCCCTGTAGCACTAAAGCATACAAATGCTCTCCATAAATCAATCACATTTTCAAGGAATATGGTGATGTGTTACATAAAAGTAGAAGCTGTTGCACTGTGTGGTAGATTTTTCCCTAAACCTAATTACGTATCTGGGTCTCGTCTACATTCAACGTCCCCTGGGTCTTGTCTACAATCGATGTCCCCTAACGTCTACAGTTGACGTTTAGTATACTCCAGCGAGTCTACAGTCGACTTCAGCTGAGTTCCCTAACTCTAACTTGCTCCCCTAACTAACTTACTTGCTTCCCTATCTATCCTGCTGCACAGCAGTAAGAAACAGACAGACTTCAGCAAATGTCCTCTAAATGCTTTAATCACGGCCGAGAGAGAGTTCTCGACATTTCCACAGAGATCTTCCCCAAAGAAGAAGGATGGATCTCAGACAAATTCCATTGAGAATCCCACCCGTAAAACACAAATACAACAGTTTTTATAGAATAAGGAGGTGTGGCAAAAATGACATGAAACATTACATAATTTCCCCACAATTTGATTGGTTTTCATATGCAGACCCTTCTGTTACCAGCCAGAACCAAACTCTGAATTTTACATCAAGAGAAATAATAGATCTTTAAGGGAAGTCAACAAAGGAGGCAAAATAGTTACACACACACACACACACACACACACACACACACACACACAATTCGTTCAAGGACCAAAGTTTATATAACAGATTGATAAAGCTTACAATGACAAAATAACGCAGCGTGTGTGTGTGTGTGTTTTCATATGAGGGCAAATAGTTTTTCAGTCCAGCATGCTGATTCAAAGTTTGAATCAGTCTCACCGATAAGGCAGATAAAGTCTGTGAGCAGCTTTGTGAAGACTGTTTTAAGTCTGTTTTAAATCCTCAAAGGTGAGCCATCCAATCCAAAAAACACCAAGGTCCACAATGAGACAGATAAAAAAATCTACCAACATATTTCGGTCCCAGAAAATAGTCCACTCAAAAATCCCGGGGTTGCGCTATGCGAGGTCATCCTCTGAATCTTGCGAGAGTTCGTTACAGAGTTAAAGACCTATACACGTAAAACCAACATCCCATGACTACCAATACATAGGTCAATCACAATATAAATAATCTACCCCTTATGAGGCTTTGCTACAATCCATCACAACTGCTGCAATAGTCACTTTCTGTTTAGATTGGAAAGCAATTGCGAATCATGAAACATTTGTAACATATTGTTTTAATTAGCATTTAGCTAATTATGCTAAAAGTATTAAGGTTAACACTTAAAATATTAATTTCCCTTAAAAATGTATATAATTAACTTTAACCCATATTTCAAATGAGCTTTTATTTTAAATAGCTTTAATTTAATTAGTTTAATTTTACTTTAATTTTAGTCATTTTGCTATGTGACTTTGTCATTCTTTGCCAAGGCAACATTTTACATTTTTATTTTCAATCTAATAAAAATATATTGTATTTCATCTGTATTTCAATTAAAACAACTTTTAATAGTTTTAGTTGTAGTTAGTTTAACAATAACAACACTGTATATGTGATATCACTTTGATCTGTGCAAGTGTAGAACGTTTCTCTTTTAAGACAGATGGTAGCGTGGGTTTCCTTGACAATGATGATCTGATAATCCAAATAATCATCTTGCTAGAACAATTACTTTCCATTCATACGCAGCAGAGACTCTTATTGCGATTTTGAATCATATTGCAGTTGCAGCTATGAACGCTTCTGGGGTGATGGCCAAATATGCTTTTGTTTCCAGCACTGGAAATAACAAGTCTGCTGATGATCCTTATGCTGTGTGTGCGAGAGTGTTGCACACGTCTGCATCTGTCTACGAGACACTGGTTTATAAATAACTGTGGTTGCATAACACAATCCAGCCTGTTCCCGGCTGTCTCTCCTGCATCGCCTTTGATATTTCCCAAATCTATGGAAAGAATGGGAGAAGGGGTAAATGGATGTAAAATATAACATTTACAAACAACAATACGACTTTTTAATGAATAAAAGGCATTTGTCATGATTCCTGTCTGTGTTCCCCTGTTCTTTTCCATGTTTGGTAGTCCCCCATCATGTTTAATGTCTGTTAGTCTCCCCAGGTGTCTCTGATTAACCACGCCCCCTTGTTATCTTGTTTAGCTTGTTTGCCTGTGTATTTAAGCCCTGTGTCTAGTTCAGTCTTTGTGAGTTCTTGATTGGTCTGAGTCTGAGTCTGAGTCTGAGTCTGAGTCTGAGTCTGAGTCTGAGTCTGAGTCTGAGTCTGAGTCGACTACTGCTGCACGTGGATCCTGCTTCCTCCTATGTTTCAACCACAGCGTTACAGAAGAATTCACCACAACATGGGTCCAGCACAACGTCTCTTCCTTCTCAGTCAAGGTGACTCTCCAATTGAGGAGTATGTGAGGGAGTTTTTTTTAACTTTGCAATGAAGTGGACTATTGTGATGAGATCTTAAAGGACATGTTTCGCTATGGACTTAATGAGCCACTTTACTATCTCATGCCTGGCAATACCCCTCACTACACTTTGGTGAAATATATAAACGTTCCCCTCTTGTGGAGCGGTTCATCATTTACTGTGGGCTTTGCGGATGAGGAACCCCGTAAGCTCACAGTATTCTCTAAGCCTGAGTCAGATCACGTCATGCCCACTTTCATGTTGGCAACTCCAGTGCTCACACCGCTCGCCAGAGCCTCATCCTGTCATGGCCGCTGCCGAGCCTGAGCTTCACGTCAGTCCTGCCAAGCCTGAGCTTCACGTCACCCTTCCAGAGTCTCGTCCCGTCATGGTCGCCCTTCCAGAGTCTCGTCCTGTCATGGTCGCCCTTCCAGAGTCTCGTCCCGCCAAGACCGCCCTTCCAGAGTCTCGTCCCGCCGAGATCACAACTACGCCTGTGTCTTCGGACAAGATGGCCGTCTCTACGCCTGTGTCTTCGTACAAGATGGACGAATCCACGCCTGTGTCTTCGGACAAGATGGCCATCTCTACATCTGTGTCTTCGGACAAGATGGCAGCCTCTTCGCCTGTGTCTCCGGACAAGATAGCCGCCTCTTCCCCTGAACCTTCAGGTCCGCCCGGGCCACCTGAGCTGTCTGGTCCACCCTGGCCACCTGAGCTGTCTGGTCCTCCCTGGCCACCTGAGCTGTCTGGTCCACCCTGGCCACCTGAACTGTCTGGTCCGCCCTGGCCCCCTGAACTGTCTGGTCCGACCTGGCCCCCTGAACTGTCTGGTCCGACCTGGCCCCCTGAACTGTCTGGTCCGACCTGGCCCCCTGAACTGTCTGGTCCGACCTGGCCCCCTGAACTGTCAGGTCCGCCCTGGTCGCCTGCACTTCCTGCGCCGCCCACGCTCCACGGTCCACGTCCTCCCTCGCTCCACGGTCCACGTCCACCCATGCTCCACGGCCCAGGTCCGCCCACGCTCCACAACTCAGGTCCGCCGTTGCCATGTCCTGGTCCCATTCCCCTCCATGGACCTGGCCCTCCATCCTCCACCACCCTCCTGGACTATTGTTTCATGGGGAGTGTCTGGAAGGGGGTGGTTAAGGGGGGTGGTTATGTCATGATTCCTGTCTGTGTTTCCCTGTTCTTTTCCATGTTTGGTAGTTCCCCGTCATGCTTAATGTCTATTAGTCTCCCCAGGTGTCTCTGATTAACCACGCCCCCTTGTTATCTTGTTTAGCTTGTTTGCCTGTGTATTTAAGCCCTGTGTCTAGTTCAGTCTTTGTGAGTTCTTGATGTTGAATGTTGGTTGTTCTGTTCCTGAGTCCTGTTCCCTAGTCTGAGTCTTGAGTTTGTCAAGTTTTGAGTTCATTTAATAAAAGACTACTGTTGCACGTGGATCCTGCTTCCTCCTATGTTTCAACCGCAGCGTTACAGTATTCCTCATTACTGTAGTTCACTAAGTATAACTACTATTGCTAACAAGGGATAGGACAGACCTGAATTCTAACAGACCTGAAATTGAGGGATTCTAACAGACCTGAAATTTTAAACTTCAGTGCACCACTCATCCTGCTCCATGTGTCATACAGTCATAAATACAATATAACAAAATTGGAAACACTGGAAAAACATGTGTATACTTAAATTTTTTCAAAACTTCTACACAAACATGCTTGCAATTCACTGCAGTTTCCAGCTGGAATGAACACTAGTGGCTGTAAAACACCAGCAACTTGTATTTGTTTTCACTCAAATTATGATTACAGAAGCAGATAATGGATTAATAAAGATTTATTTTTGCCATGTTCCTTTTGACGCTTCTGTCACATAACCAGCTTAATTTGTATGGATTTTCTAATATAGTAAACTTGCTCAGAAGCAAGCTATGGGATTTTAACATTATTAGTTAGTGTTAAAATCCCACATTGACTTACACTGAAGGAGAGAGACAAGTCATATTAGAAGAATATTGTAGAATATCAGTCATAGAATAGTGGAACCTATTGACTATGCCAATAAGAAACTATCTAGCAACACCCTACCCAGAGAGCAACATAGTGTTAGCCCAGATCCGGCCCATATCTGGTACATGTGGAATCCACGTGTACCAGATGTAGGCCGGATCTGGGCCTATACTATGTTGCTGACTGGTTAGCAACCAACCCCAGCACCCCAGTAAGCACTTAACAAATCCCTGATCCATCCATTGATACCCTGATGATGCTGTGAGAAGTTTTGCAAAAACTTTCATTTTTGAAAAATTCAGCCATAAGGCACATCACAATGTACATACATCATGTAATGACTGTATATTTGAATTATATTTCATGTTTCTTCCATCTTGTCGGGTTTAAGCATATAATGACACAAGTTATTACATGATAATAGATAATACAATCTAAAAGTAACATTATATGAGGTATGAGGCATTTGCAGTGAATTAGTTAATTGACAAATTTTTGCAGTCTAAATGATATAAAATAAATAAATAAACATACAAATAAATAAAAATAACACACAGTACAACACTTTTAATGACCTGTTGTTACACATGGACAATCACAGATGCAAATGATTTACGACTGTAAAAGCTAAGCAGCAGAAGGGACTATTTACACAAATGTTTAAAATAAACTTAGCTGTTGTTTGTCTCTTTATTGTTTCCTGTTGTTCTCAGTCAGCGTTACTGTATGTGTAACCCAGACGTGGTGCAGCAGTTCCACAATCCTGACACAATCTTCATCCTTGCATTTGCCATCATCCTCCTGAACACGGACATGTACAGTCCCAACATCAAACCTGACCGTAAGATGATGCTGGAAGACTTCATCCGCAACCTAAGAGGTGAGACATAAGGAAATGAGGAAAATGTCTTAAAACAAGCAAATTCATTCAAATTGATCAAGGGTCGACCAAATACAAGTCTATTCTTAAAAGTATATTAAAAAAACTGCACTTGAAGATATTATAATATTAATGAAGGCCACTTAAGTGTGCACTAAGCGAAATACAGTTAATACACATTTTGACTATAATGCATTTTTAATTAATTACAATTGACAATTAAGTATAAGAAAGTATGACATTCATTCACTCTTAATGTCAAGGTTAATGTTCTGTGTTATTGTGGTTTTGTGGATTAAAGACTGTTTATATTGTCATTCTGAGTAATTTGTACCATAATAGTGACAGTTGAACCCACCCTCACAGTGAATATAGTCAAATGGATTGCCGATCGCAACATGGATGATCTCTAGAGGAATATGCAGAGGAGATCCTGGACTTGTACCATGAAGCATGCTGGCATGACAAGGCTCCCAAGTACATCTTTTGGAGCGGATTGGACGACATCATAGGCCAGATGCTGCTTGTGGAGGAGGACCCCTTTCCACTTGTTGACTTCATAAGCTATTCCCTGTGAGTGTGTGGATCCTCACAGTGGCAGTCGTTGAGGAAGAGAATCAACTCCGACTCCCTAGAGCCTGTACCATCGCCAGCAGCCGTCTCCCTGCTTGAGCCTGTACCATCCCCAGAAGCCGTCTCCCTGCTTGCTCCAGGCCAGAAGCCTCATCTTCCCAGCCCAGAGAGCCCTGGAACTACTGGAAGATCTTCCCCCAAGGATCCAGTGATGACACCTGAGCCTCCCACAGAACCAGAGACTGAGCCTGCCATGGAACAAAAGCTTGAGCCACCTCCAGCCACAGAGCAAGAGCTAGCCACCGCGTCCATCCCGGAGCTAGAGCCATTTGCCACATCCATTCCAACAAGGCTGGAAGCCACCGTTAGGTCCACCCCAGAGTCGGTGCCATTGGGACAATCCACACCTGAGCCAGTGGATGAGCACTGGCTCATTGACTTTGAGACAGAGCCAGCTTCCACCCTTATCCCTGCTCCTGAATACGATATTCCTTAGCCGTCCACTAGAAATTTAATCTGGAATCACCTGCCCTGCTGGGGACTCGGAGCTCCTCAGCTTCATTTGCACAGCTATCACTCCAGCTCTGCCTCGTGCCCCTTCACCACCAGCATGCTCTGTGAGGCGGATCCCCAGGCTACACCTCAGTACTTCAAGCCCATATCTCCACCTCGACCTGTCAGCCCTTCTGCTCCTCCTTGGCTCTATGTTCCCTCAGCTCAGCCATGGTCCACCATCTCTCGGGCTCCATTCCTCCTTGGTCACTTGCCCTGGTTTTGCCACAAACTTCCGGGCCTCCAGCTGTGCCTCAGCCATCCACCCTTTCGCAATACATGTGTTGTATTGCACCATAACAGTGACACTTAGTATATTCTTTTAGTATATTAATTCCGTAATAAGTACTCTTTTTAAAAGTATGTTAAAGTGTACTTTTTCACAAGTGTCATTTCTCATGCATTTTTGCATGCAATGTACTTTTGCATTTTTCCTGCCTTTCCTTTTGTAAATGCAAATTGTTGTTTTCCAATTGGTATAAAGCATATACACACAAACGCTTACACTTTCATTTCATCATAAGTTGGGTCAGGATCATTTCACATGACTAACTGAGTGGGCGAAACCTAATTAAGCATCAAAATATAATGCTATTGAAAGTGCCCTATGGCACATTAATTTAATGAAAACCGCCCAGTGACATCAGCGCTCTGTTAATCTCACAGTGTAGACTTTAATTTTCCATTACTCTGTGACACAAAAAATCTCTGTACATTAGCAGATCTCACTTGGTCTCCCTGTATTGCTTTTTTCCCTATAAACTCCAAAAACTTTTACCACTTGATCCACTCTGCTGCCAATCCCACAATCCCACACATCACTCAGCCCTCTCCCGTAGGGTAAGGAAAAAAATATATATTTCGAATTCAACTTCTTCATCTATCTCCTCATCTGATTTTGCATAACATCCCCTGATGTTTTCGCGACTCCTCAAGTCTCCCTATAATTTCATTAGGCAAATCTGTTTTGCTGCATATTATGTTTATAATGCAGATCTAGCCTAGTAGTTAGATAAACCACTTTCTCTTCAGACAAATTCATACAATTGAAAATGCATATACATTTTTACGCAGTTTTCAAAAAACCTTGACTATTCTATTAAACTCAGTGTAAACAAATCAATACATATTCTCGATGTGCCCAGATCTAGGCAAAAAAAAAAAAAAACAGAGGTGACAGAGCGTTTGCAGTGGCTGCTCCTAATTTTGGAATAGTCTGCCAATTTTTGTAAGGAAAGCGCAGACTATTGAAATATTCAAGTCCTTGCTTAAGCATTATTATGCTTTGGCCTTCAATTCTAGCTGAGCTCTGATATCTTGACCTGCGGGTCATTTCTGTTTGTACTTTGTGTGATATTGTCTGTTTAATAATTTGTTTTGTTTCTTTGTTGGATCTTGTAAAGCACTTTGGTCAATTACGATTGTTTTAAATGTGCTATATAAATAAAATTGAACTGAAACTGAACTGAACATATTAACAAAAGTTTAATAGAACTTAAACTCTGTTGACAGAACATGTGGCACATAATGCAGATAAGGCGATGAAAAACACCACAGGAATGTTGTGGACAAAGAATGGTATATTACACAGAAATATAATTAGATGTGCCTAAAAGATGTGTTTATTTTGTTGTTTGTTAAAGGCTGTTGCCTAATGGCAGGATATATAATATTATGTAAAAATGTATATTTTTCTGTTAATTTATACTTTTCCATACTTTTTGTGTTTTATATAATCGAATTTGATATACTTTGTGTGTTTTTACTTAGGGGTTGATGACGGTGCAGATATTCCACGGGACATGGTTGTGGGAATATATGAGCGTATTCAGCTGAGGGAATTACGATCGAATGAAGACCACGTCACTTATGTCACCAAGGTGGAGCAAAGCATTGTGGGAATGAAAACGGTAAGTTTTCAGTTTGGGCTTTGCTTTGCAGGAAATATCCGTATCAGACTGCATCCAAATATTTTCTACATGTCACTTGAATTTTTCACCATTGCTCCAACATAACTGAATATTACAAGTTATTATTTTGATACGCATACAGTATACTACCCTGGGACCATATTAAAATATGATAGGTGTCCTGCTGTTTCACCTTTACCATCTCTAAATGTTGCATGCATGGAGTGGCTTTAATTCATTGGGCAGCTGGTGATTCATTGCAGCTCATGCCTGTAGCATTGCTGCCATTCCTCATTACTGCAACAGAAGAACTGTGGCATTGAATAACCTCACAGGTTTTTTTTCCTTCATTACCTTACTTCACATTCACTCCTCACTGTGTTTCCACTAAGCTGTTTCCCAAATGCGACATGCAAAAATTAACCAATATTATTTTGCCAGTAGAAACATCTTAATCATGCAAATTTTACTTGAGAAGGAAAATGATATATTATGATTGTAGAGCATACTTTGATATTTTAGAGTTAATTATTTGCCTGTTTTTACTTTTTCGTTCTAAAATGTGTCTGATTTATGCTTAAAAACAAAAATTTAAAGGAAGATATTATTTGCTAGTGGGGTAAGAAAAAATAAACTATTCTCTGAAAACACTTCTTAATATCTTATACAGCTTTGCCCCTCAAGTTAATGTATGTTGTTTAAGGATGTTTTCCTCCCGGAGGAGGGAGGAGCCAAGGTGGGGACGAAGGCGAGAGTAGCTAGGGCAGATACGTAGGCAGGAGTAACCATGGCGGAGATGAAGATAGGAGGAGCCAAGGAGTAACGCCCAGCAGGAGAATCAGGATGCAGGCCCACTTAGAGGAAGTACCAGGCGGGACCAGAGGGACAACTTACTGAGACTGAGCTGGTGGTGTTGGAGACCCAGGCGGAGCTGAAGAGCTGGAGAGACAAGTCAACATCGAAGGATCTTGAGAACAGGGCAGAGCCGCAGAGACGAGCGGCCAAGGTGGAGCCAAAGTGACCGCTGCCTAAGGTGAAGCCGGAGGGAAGAAGGAGCCTGACCCAGCCAAAGGGGTGGACGGACGAGTCGCAGATGAAGGGCGACGACTGACCAAGCTGGAGCCGAGGGGGCAAGGAGCCAAGGTGGAGCTGATGGTGCGAGGTAAATTGATGGGTTTGGAGGTTCTAGGCGGAGCCAGAGGGTTGACACTCCAGGGCATAGCTGGCGAACTGGAAACCCCAGGCTGGTCCAGGATATTAGATACAGACAGTTTAGGTGGATCCAAAGGGCTGGAAGGAGCCAGCAAAGACAGGGACAAAGAACTGGGTAGCCCAGACAGGGGTTTACAAAACAGCCTCGTTGACCAATACAGGGCAGGTAAAGTTTTAAAGCAGGCTCCTTGGTTGACACGGGACAGACAGATACTTCAGGAATGGCCCTCTTGGCCGACACGGGACAAGCAGGTAATTCAGTAATGGCCTCCTTGGCTCACGCACCTGGTCAGACATGTTTTCGGGCTCATGCTCCAGGATGATCATGGGCTCAGGCAGTGGTGCTGGCATGGTGGCAGGTTCATGCTCCATGTCTGCGTTGGGCTCAAGCTTGAATTCTGCTGGGGGTGTGGCTGAAGGCACGATGTGTACGGTGTGGACTGTGGCTTTGTGATCCTCCTCCATCTCACCAATGGTAAAGGGGAATCTGCAATGAAACCAGACCCAGTCCATGGCCGTCTCCGGGCAGGCTTGCTTTAGTCCGCGGATTCACACCTGCCCAGAAAAGAGGCTGGCGTCATCATAGTGGATGAGATGTTGCAGATCCAAAAACCTCCACATGTGTTCCTTGAAGGACAGAGCCCGCTGTGAGAGGAGGAGGATCTTTACTGCCGCTAGATCCACTGTGCTGGGTCTGTTCTTCTGTCACACTCACGGTTGATGCAAAGAAATAAAAGAGCTGGATCTAAACACAGGCAATTGATTTTTAATTCGATTGATACTAAGACTTGGCAAAGCATGAACAGAACAACAGACAATGAACTGAAAGAAACACGGGGCTTAAATATCCAAACAAGATAATCAACTAAACAATCAACAGGTGTCCAATGTGATCAATCAAATGAAAAACAATGGAAACAAACTCAACCACATGAAACGGAACCAAAACACGTGCTTAACCCACACAAAACAAACACAAGAACAGATCATCCGTGATAATCATCCTCATTATTTCTGCCCTATTCATCAGTACTGTCTCAAAGATAAAAAGCTATTTCTCTATAGGTCATTTAAATCACTCTTTCTCTTTGTTCAGATTTATCTATTTTTTCCACACAGATTTATGAGCACACCTGCCGCTGTCATTAAAAAAAGCCTTTTAATGGCTTTATTGTTTTGTTCTCATAATGTCTGGTAGACCCAGAAATGGGTGCAATAATGCAGTGTGTGTAGTAAGATTAAGTGATCAACTAGAATGAGGATTTTGTTCTCAGAAAACATTAAAATGCTGTAATTGTAGATCTTTCTCTTTGTTTTGAATCAGTAACATGTATGGCACTTTACCACATGTGTGTTTTAAATAATGTTTAGTTCTTTACTGGGTTTGCTGCTGATGTTGCTCAGGGCTGCATTTCCCAAAAGCATTGTAAACCTAAGTAGATTGTAAAGACCATAGGTTCTGGACCATTGGTTTTCCAAAATATAGTGAGAAGCCTACCTGGACAGCAATTTTAGGCATCACATGTGCCATTGCGACAAAAATTAAATTAAATAAATAACTAAAATTCAACATTTGACTGCTCAAGAGAAATGTTGACTGTAAAATCATGCCCTAATGCTCATCATCATAGTCATTGTATGGCAACTGCTCATTTGAAACCTTTTTACTAGATGTTGTTAATTCTGGCAAACATATTCATATAGTATTTAAGCCAAGGCAATGTAGAATGAAATCTTCTGTTGCTAGTCACTCTCTCTCAAGGTTCTGCTATTGAAGATGTTCTCCATTTGCTGCAATGCAGTCTTTCTCTAGTGCTTAGCAACTTAGCGATCATAGAAATCAAGGACTTTTATTTATTGAAATCATTTCACATTCACCAACAGCACAACTCTAACTGGCTTAAAAAATTTGTTTCATTCTCTCATAGCCGGTAGTCATATGTATTCACCTTACACTGAAAAGCAAACAGAAAACAAAAACTGATTTAAATAAGACATTTGTATTTAGCTTGTGATAATCTTCTTATGTGTCATACATTTATACTTCACTAGGCTTTTTTATTGTATTGTCGTAGCTAATTTGATTTCTGCCGCAGTTTGCGCAGAATTTAACTGACCCAAATGTTCGTGTTCGTGTGGAAATCGAGTTCTGTCTGTAATCATACCCTTACTTCTTCTTAGAGTTGATACAAATGTTGCTGACACTCTCTGGTCTCTCTCTTCCCCTCACATCTTATTCATCACCTCTCTCTTCTTTTCCCAACCTCTCCACGGTTGGGCTTTTCTGGTTTTGCTTTCATTGGGGTTTTTGCAGGTCATGTCCCAAGTTTGCAGAAGGGCAAATGTGGAGCATACCTGCTGATTCTGATGTTGTCCTAGAACTTTTATTGCTTGCTAGGGTTTGAAAGTGCATCAAATGCAATGTCACTGTTTTTCGCCAGGAGGGCCTAAATAACATTTATATAATATTCATGATTAATGTGGTCCACATTTACACAGAATAACAAACCCTGCCTACAAAGGCATCACTGGCATATCCCCACTATTCCAGAAAGTTCCAGAAACTAAATTATGCTTATTTATAAAATCTTATATCTAATTATATTTTACAATTTCACCCAGGGTCTGTTTGCTCTTTACTTTAATGCTTATTAGACCAACCTTTTTTGTTGTTTGCTTAGCATAATGCTAATAACTTTTCTTGCTTATCTCTTTTCCATTGATTAGCTTAGCAATATGAAAACTCCACTAGAAAATCATTTGAAAATCAACCCTCCCACTTGAGGTTTTTAAAATTACTTTTATTTATTTATTTATTTATTTGTTTGTTTCAGACTTTGGGTTCTGCCATGTAGCAAGATAGTAAGGTAGCTCATTGGAACACAGCTATTGAAAAACAGCTAATATGTTTGCTAAACTACAAAGTTCTGTCATGAAACTCTAGATGGTGCAGGCTGATATGTCATTAACTCAATTACATCATTCTCTATAGGGCACAGCTGATTGGTTCCTGCTATATCAGTAGCCAATGAGCTCGCTGCTCAACCTTTAAATACTTGGTTAGCATTTGCCTGTATAAACCCTCCTCCTTCCCCAGATCCACCTGTATAGATCTGCTACGGGTATTATTTACACTCTTACACTTGTTATTATTGCAAACTGTTTAATGTACAACAACACTGATGTGAAAATGACAGGCCTATATGTCACTATTTATGAGTATAAATAGCCTCTAACTATATTCACTTAGTGTAAATAGCATATCGCTAAGAAAATGCTGCTATTTTCACTTAGTCTAAATAGCCGCTGCCATTAAAATAATGTGTGCTGAGAAATAGATATCAGCATTATTTAATGGTTCTCAATGAGGGAAACACCACAGGGCCTCAGCATGATTTAAGAGTACTTAAATTAATACATTATTATTAATTATTAAAAAAAAAGAAGATATATCTTGAGTCTTTGAGTCAAAAAGGGTGAGATTAAGAACCACTGATTTAGATGTAATTTGATATAACAAATGAAGAAATGTCACTCAAGATGTATCTTTTCTTTTAGTGAAGTCATTTTACATGTGTCCACTCTCAGGTCCTGTCGGTGCCACACAGAAGACTGGTGTGCTGCAGTCGACTGTTTGAAGTGACTGACATCAACAAAGCCCAAAAGCAAGCTGCTCACCAGAGAGAGGTCTTCCTCTTCAACGACCTACTTGTGGTAACTTCAAGACACATTTCATTATGTAGAATTTTTAATTTTGTCATTTCTTGTCCCTATCTGATGTTGATCGCTGTTAATCATGACAAGAAAAAAGAGAGGATGACAAAATACAAGACATGCATTTTCCATATATTTATGGTCTACTACATTTGCGTTCACAATTACAATGGAATTCTATATCCAACTTTATGCAATGTACTTGATCTTCCATCAACTCTCCCACAACTCCTCAAATTATTTGGTCAAAGCCACAAAGTACAGCCCTTGAAATTAATCAAAGATTAAATGTCTGTTGTAATTAATGGAGGGCATTAGACTGACTGAAAGGCTATCCCAGCAATGTATTAAACTATTCTCATAATTACAAGAGCTCATTTTAATCTGGCCATAAAAAAGGGAAGAGAAAACCACAAAACACATTTTCCCATTACAATCATGGGTGAAACTGGGGGAAATCAGGCTTTTTCAAAAATACAGATGACCTTTGCAAAATGAAACTCTCTCTATACAATTTATGTGAAATGGAAAACTGAGAAATATAAAAGGAGATATATAAAATCCAAATATCCAGTCAATCAGGCCATTATACATTATTAAGTTTTGCGGCAATATTGATTTTCATAACTGCTTTTCTAACTTTGCTCAGATAAGCTTTGGCTTTAATTGTGTTGAGATATGAGTTGGCTCAGTGATTATTCTTCTCCTTCAAGAGGGTCTCCTGTCACTCTAAGATTTGTGGCAGAATGAAATATAGGTTCAATATGGTGGTATTGTGAGTAAACCAGTAGGGAGTCTGGTAAGTAGACTCTTAACACTACACTAATCTGTGTGGCCTTCTATTTCTCACATGCACTCAAACACTTACAATCGTAACACTGACAGACCGTTAGATAGCAGGGTTAATGACTATTCAGAATTTAAGAGAGCATGTCAGTTGAGAATTAAATTCCTGGATTTGAATTGAATTTGAATTAAGCTAGTAAACATGATGAATAATTTTAATGTGATGAAGTAGAAATAAAGTCTGTCAAATTCATATAACTAATTTGGTAACACTTTAGTTTAGGGTCCAATTTTCACTGATCTAGTTGTTTAATAACATGCATATTACTAAGATATTGGCGTTTTATTATTACTTATAAAGCTCATATAAGGGCCTTTCGCATCTGGTAGTTCTAGGAACTTAGTTCTAGGCACCAGGGTGGTTCCCTGAGAACTAATGGTTCCCTTAGGATCGTTTTCCTGGTTGCATTCGCACCGCCAGTGGGAACTCTGAAGTCACGTCAGCTTGTTGTTGTGACCTTTATTTTGACGGTGCTGAGAACTCCAGAGCCTGAGCACACAGTCTCCGTGTTCATTAGTTTATGATCGGTCTAACAGTCCTATCTAATACGTTATTGGATAGAACTGTTATACATAGAAAGTAGACAGTATATGAAAAGGTATTAGTGTATGCCGTGTGGTTGATGTCCAGTGTTGCTAGCTGAATAGAAATACATAATCATGTTTGGATTGGTCCCCTCAAAGGTGCGTTGGATTTTCTCCTCAGCGTAAAGGTTAAGAGGCTCATCTCTCACTGTTTTCCATGTTCATAGAGTTAGTTTCTGGAGTAAATATACAGGCTGTAATCTGTGTGTATACATAGCTTTTTTTTTAAATGGTGCTGGTGTTTCGTGTGCGTTCGGCCAATCAGCGTACACTAACGTCACTGGTAGTTCCTATTGTGCTGGGTTAGACCCTAATCTGAAGTAGGGGCTAAATTAGTTCCTCCAAAAGGAGTTTCTAGAACTAAAATAGTTCCTAGTTCCTGCGGTGCGAACACGCCAAAATCCGGGTTCTTCCGCCAATAGTTCTAGGAACTATGAAAAGGTTCCTCTGGTGCGAAAGCCCCTATGAAGGCCTTATTCTGCATGACCATATTCTACATCCCTTAATCCTACCTAATACCTAAACTTAACAACTACATTACTAAATATTAATAAGCAGTAATTAGGAGTTTATTGAGGCAAAAGTTGTAGTTAATAATTAGTTAATAGTGAGAATTCAACCCTAAACTAAAGTGTGACCACTAATTTTAACTCGAAAGATAAATCAAGCGTAGTGTCAGTTCTGAAAGGTCACGTTAGTCAAGCTCGCATCAGCTGACTCTCAGCTGATCCACGTCTATGTATAGGAATATGACGCCTATCACTGTATACATATATAAGCTCCTTCAGTATTATCAGCAGCTATCGCGTTTCTCAGGAGCTAATTACCCTCCTCCATCCCCAGCTCCTCCTCTCGTCAAGTCAGGATTTGGCATTCTGATTCCCTTGAATCAGAATAAATTTTCAAATTATGTTGTACTTTAAAATCTTGAATTAATGATATCTGCATACATTCCTGTTGGTTCTGTTCTGTTTACCCTAAGGGTGGTTATTGCTGCTCTCTCTGCTCTTATCCATGTTAGGCTGCATGGATGCGCAGGGAGTTCTCGCCCAGAACGGAACCATACCGCCAATCCAAACTGTATGCTAATTGTCAATCGTATTTGACGATAGTGCTCCTGACAGAAATGTGTTTTTCTTGAGGAGCAGTATTTGTGTGGTGTGCTGTTTATAGCGCGTTCTAAAGCACTTATGAGGTATTTGTCAGTTAACAAACTGCCTTAGGGCCTGTTCACATATCGCGTCTTTTGCGCGCTCAAGTTCGTTATTTCAAATGTAGGCGCGCGGAATGCGCGCTCATAATGGAAGCGACACGGTCGCGATGCGACGCCACTCGTTTTTTCCAAGTGCGTCCGCGTCGCATCGAGATAAAAACATCTCAACTTTTCAGAATGCCGCAAGCGCACCATAAGCGCACCGTAGGTCACGTGACAAGAACCAACCGGAGCGCAACTGCCCTAGCGCTTTGGAAAAAGGAGAACGCGGCGAGCCCAGCGTTTTCTACGCGTTTTTAGGTGCTATATGTGAATGGCGCTTTCCAAAAGCGCTAGGGCGGTTGCGCTCTGGTTGGTTTTTGTCACGTGACCTACGGTGCGCTTATGGTGCAGTAGCAAGGCAGCTCACTAAGTTTTGGAACAAAGCTTGTGTTTACCATTCTTAAGGCCCTGATATACTCACAGCGAAGTTCTTTTTCGTTCTTTGTTTAGAGGTAAAACGAAGTTAGAAATACGTGGCCAGCATCGTGTTGAACATCCGACGCCTTCCACGCTGATGTAAGCGACGTTTAGATTAATATGTAAATATATAGTGTGTGCTTTCCTCTCAATAACAAAATTAACACAACAAAATTGAGAAAACAGCAAGCATTTTTATTTCATTTTCTACTATAAAGCAGCTCTCCATTGTGTTCATGTTTCCACTCGCTGAAGTCTGACCTATTCGGGCTCAACAGCAGAAATGAACTGGAAAAGATTTCAACGTGAAAGAAGGCGGAGCCTCCTAACTATTATGTAATCGCCACGGGCCAATGGCAGTCCAAAGGATTTTACCAGCCGGAGCGTCATTTTCCAAAAAGAAATCCCAAAACGAACTCCAAACAAAGTTCATTTTGGCCTGATTTTGTTCGAAATCACTTCGCAATCAGTTCGTTCATTGATTTCACTTGAAGTATATCAGGGCCTTATACTCTTTTTGATAGTGAACCTAATTAACAACACTATCTGTTTCCTTCACAGATATTGAAATTGTGTCCAAAGAAGAAGAGTTCTGCTGCCTACACCTTCTGCAAGGCCACGGGGTTACTGGGCATGCAGTTCCACCTGTTTGAGAATGAATGTAAGATCCTACAGCTCATGTGGTAAATCCAGCCAGGCTCATTGGTAAACCGTGCCTCTACCTACATTTTTGCAAAACTACAAAAATGTACCTATACATAAAATTCACTGCAGTTTCCAGCTGAAATTAGCACCAGTGACGCAGTAAAACAACAACTTTGATTCATTTTCACATAAATTATGGTTACATGGCAGATTTAAGACTTATTTTCGTGTGGTTCCCACAATATTATATGACATCAAAACACTTTTACTATAGTGCATGCTTTGTAAACTAATATATTCTGACATTTGCATCAAAAAACCAGCTCCACACAGTGTGTATGACTTTTCTGATGTAGTAAACTTGCTCGAAAGCTCACCTGGTACAGCTTTGCACGTGTTTAAGTCCCTTTAAACACGAATCACAATAAAACAGCTCAAAGACTTAAGCTTGTAGAAGCAAGCTAAATGGCATTGCTGCTTCATCAAATGTGTTTGTTAATCTCACATTTGCTTATGTTAACAGTAACGGTAATGCACATGGTACGTTTTTTTTTTTCAAATGTTATAGAGCATTTACCTTTTGGTGTCACTCACCATACGTTTCATTTCCGAACTGCCATGGTATGTACAACAACCAACATAATAAAAGGTTGTCAGATTCATGTTCATCTGTTTCGTATAAAGCTAAATACAATTTTAGTGAAACTCACTGGACATTCATGTCAACTTTCACTCAAAATGTTAAACTAATAACGCAATGTATTATATCATACTATATAATTATAATATAGTAGATAATATCATATGTAGTAAGCATAATATATCAAAAGATATGGAAAACCGTCCAAACTCACCGGAACTCTCAGACTTTTGGACCCCATTGGACCCTTTGTCTCAACAATTTTCAGATTCAGAGAATATTGTTATAAAATCAAAATTCAATTTAAAAGCATTTTTTCCCCCTCAGGTTTAGAATTGTGTTGGAGAGTTTGTGTTGGAGAGTTTTTTTTAGCTTTGTAGGGCAGTGTAAGTAACCTGGTCACTATGGAGTGAAGAAAAACTTCATGCAAGATCCAGACAATTATGTGCCTTTCAAAACGCCCACTTCACTGATTTACTTCCAACAAAAAGAATACCACATGATAAATGAAGATGACAGGCACCCTCTTATTTTCCAATTAAGGTGGCCACAAGCATTTCTGTCTTCCTCCCACTCTTTTGCTTTCTCTCACACACACACAAACATGCATGGCAGCTGGGCTGTAATTAAGCGAGATGAGAGTGTTATGGCTAACACTCATATTTCGCCCCTCTCGAATCTGTAATGATTGACTGAACAGACTGGACGTGATAGGAGAGACACAAAAATGAGTAAATCAACAAGTAAACAAACATGTTTTCAGCCACAACCTCAGACAATAATATACACAGAATGAGTGGCCAGTCACTGTAGTGATGGAGTTTATAAGGTTTATAAGTGCTAAAAGTGCAAGAAATCCGAAATGATATTATAAAGGTGTTATACATGCGTTATAATGGTATTTCTTAACCTGCAATGACAAAAGAAGTTTCCAAGCCAGTCAGAACATATCGGATGCTTAACAAAACATCATCCTGGCATCTTTAATCAACTGATGGTTATGCTAACATCACTTGGGTTGTGTGGGCTTTTTGTCAATATTATCTAATATAGCCAACTAACTATTTAGGTAAGGTTTAGGGTTACAGTTGTAGGCAATTCTTTCTAAAATCTTGCCAATTTCATGATGAAGGTTGTGTAAATAATTATAATAACCAATAACAATTGATTTAAAAAAGAAGCATTACCCCCATGCACTGAAAAAAAAAAACAGTTGCTGCCTTAAATTTTTATTAAGTCATTTCAACTTAAATTGCATTAAATTGGCTTGAAAAATGAGTTGAATCTTGTATAACTTATACAGTGAACTTGGAAATTAGTTAACTTATTTTGATGAGCTAAAGCAATGTAAAACATGATATTATAACTTATTGATCATATATATACACTCACCGGCCACTTTATTAGGTACACCTGTCCAACTGCTCGTTAACACTTAATTTCTAAGCAGCCAATCACATGGCGGCAACTCAGTGCATTTAGGCATGTAGACATGGTCAAGACAATCTCCTGCAGTTCAAACCGAGCATCAGTATGGGGAAGAAAGGTGATTTGAGTGACTTTGAACGTGGCATGATTGTTGGTGCCAGAAAGGCTGGTCTGAGTATTTCAGAAACTGCTAATCTACTGGGATTTTCACGCACAACCATCTCTAGGGTTTACAGAGAATGGTCCGAAAAAGAAAAAACATCCAGTGAGCGGCAGTTCTGTGGGCGGAAATGCCTTGTTGATGCCAGAGGTCAGAGGAGAATGGCCAGACTGGTTCGAGCTGATAGAAGGGCAACAGTGACTGAAATAACCACTCGTTACAACCGAGGTATGCAGCAAAGCATTTGTGAAGCCACAACACGCACAACCTTGAGGCGGATGGGCTACAACAGCAGAAGACTCCACCGGGTACCACTCATCTCCACTACAAATAGGAAAAAGAGGCTACAATTTGCAAGAGCTCACCAAAATTGAACAGTTGAAGACTGGAAAAATGTTGCCTGGTCTGATGAGTCTCGATTTCTGTTGAGACATTCAGATGTTAGAGTCAGAATTTGGCGTAAACAGAATGAGAACATGGAACCATCATGCCTTGTTACCACTGTGCAGGCTGGTGGTGGTGGTGTAATGGTGTGGGGGATGTTTTCCTGGCACACTTTAGGCCCCTTAGTGCCAATTGGGCATCGTTTAAATGCCACGGCCTACCTGAGCATTGTTTCTGACCATGTCCATCCCTTTATGGCCACCATGTACCCATCCTCTGATGGCTACTTCCACCATGTCACAAAGCTCTAATCATTTCAAATTGGTTTCTTGAACATGACAATGAGTTCACTGTACTAAAATGGCCTCCACAGTCACCAGATCTCAACCCAATAGAGCATCTTTGGGATGTGGTGGAACGGGAGATTCGCATCATGGATGTGCAGCCGACAAATCTGCGGCAACTGTGTGATGCCATCATGTCAATATGGACCAAACTCCCTGAGGAATGCTTCCAGCACCTTGTTGAATCTATGCCACGAAGAATTGAGGCAGTTCTGAAGGCAAAAGGGGGTCCAACCCGTTACTAGCATGGGGTACCTAATAAAGTGGCCGGTGAGTGTATATTTACAGTGTGAATATGTTGAGTTGCTCTCAAGGGTAAACGTGACGTTTCCAAATCCTGGTCAAAAAAACTCCTCAAAAGTGGGTCCCTATGGCTAATTTTTTGTGTTTTGGTTCTCAGATGAGAGAAGGAATTAGGGAATAGTTCAATCCTGTCATTATTCACTCACCTTCTCGTCAGTTTAAAATTCTCAAATCTATGACTTTCTGTCTTGCGTGAGACATAAAAGTAATTTTTTTTAAAGAATATTCAAACTGTTCTTCATAGTGACCATATCTTTTTTTTAAGTTCCAAAAAGTGCAAAAACGCACCAAAAACATATCCTAAAAGGATAAAACACACAAGTGCTATTTCTATTTTACTGTCTGTGACGTCATTGACATTGATATAGCATTTTTGAATTCTAGATGTGACCTTTAGCGGAGACTAAGATTTTCAGTGAATAACAGCCTAAATTGTTGCTAATATAATGCCTCTATTTTGTCTCATTGTTTTTCAGTCTATCCTCACGCCATCACTATTGTGTCTCCATGTTCGGGTTCTGATAAGAAGCAGGTGTTGAATTTCTGTGCTCAGAGCGCAGAGGAGCTCCTCAAGTTCGTAGAGGACCTGAAGGAGTCCATCGCCGAGGTGTCAGAGATGGAACAGATACGTATTGAATGTGAGTGGGCCGTGTGTGAAAATACCAAGTGCATGTGTGCGAGAGAATTTTAATGTGTACCTCATTCCACATCATTTTGGGCCTTTTTAGGAAAAGTCGTTACATTTCTAAGCAAATGGTTTCCCTTTGACTGACAAAACCCTTTTCTTTATAGACAGACTTACCTTGAAGGAAGGACCCTGAGCCCTAGGCACCAGAGTATCATAGACTTGTGGGTGGGCTCTTTTGACTGGGGCTATTAATCAATCAAGTGAATAGATACTTTTTCATTTTTTTCTTGTTTCGTGATGTGAATCAGCAGTCTTCTCTTGAATACTGCACAGTGTTCCCATGGTAACACTGGATAAAGCTGTCCATTTGCTGGGTTAACAGAAGAAACCCAGTTGTTTGCAGCCAGCAGCAGTGAAACAGATGCTGAGACACTTATGATTAATAAAACTAAATGTCCTGAAGAAAATGTGAGTGGCTCTTGCCCATGCAAATCTCTCCACCACAAGGCTAGGGGGTTGTAGGTGATTTGGAATAATTAAGATTGTTTAAATGTTTTTGATAGAAGGCTCACCAAGGCTGAATTTATTTGATAAAAAATATAGCAAAAAAAGGTAATCAAAAACATTTAAATAACTGTTTTCTATTTTAAAACATTTTAACATTTATGTAGTTATTTCTGTGATGGCAAAGCTGAATTTTCAGCATCATTACTCCAGTCTTCAGTGTCACATGAACTCTCAGTAAGTCAGTATTGTTATCTGGCTGTGTTTAGAAACATCGGACAATGAAGGAGAATAAATACAACAGTCTTTACTAAATCCACTGACAGAAACACAGGAGTTAGCTGGAAAATAATATTAACACAGCCACTTAAACATAGACAATGACCCGGCAACAAACTGAACCAAACAGGAAGTATTTATACACAAGGAACATGAGGAAACTAAATGGGAACAGCTGGACGAGAATTAACTGATTAGTAACCGAAACGACAGGAACGAACCAAACAGAGCATAATCGTGACACATATATGGCAAAATGACGTTGATACACACATTTAGCCTATATTTTAAGTAAGAGTGTCTCATTACTTCTGTATGTTTCAACACAAAAAAGTATAAATTGTATACATTAAAAAAATATATTATTTTAGTTTTATATATTATTCCTTATTAATAAAAAGGTCTAATATTATATATTATTTTACATATAATTCCTTAGTTTGGGAACTCAAAGTTTGGTATAAACTTAATATTACAAGTTTTAGCACTTGATATTTTAAGTTTTAAGTTGCGAAAAGGGTTGCAGCAGGTGAAATAAAGAGATGGATTTAAGGCAGCGGTACAGATATAATAATAAGATTCAACGATAACAAAATACTCAGGATTTCTCACAAATAACTTATGAACAGAACAACCATCAAACACACGGACGTGAACGGACCACAAACTGAACAAACACAGGGCATAAGTACAAACTCAAACCAATCAAGGGAACAAGCAACAGGTGTGACTGATAATCAAACAATGAGCAAAGCAAAGAAACTCCAGAAACCAACAAAGAAAACCGAACTAATCATTGACAAAACCCAGCCAACAGAAACAAACACAGAAGATAACCGCAACAGCGGCATATTTATTTATTTATGTATCCTCATTTTGCGGTCTTGGCTCTTCTACTGTTTATTTGTGCTACATTTTTGTAAAAATGCTGTGTATATATTTGCTTTCCCTGTGCATTTGTCCTTTAGGAATCTCCCTGTTTTGATGTTCCATAATAAATGAAAAAAAAATCGTTTGTACATTGTAGTCAGGCTTTCAAATATTCTCTGAAGGAAATAAGGAGGAAAGATAGGGAAGCAGGAACAGAGAAATATATTTTGGTTTCCATGAGGGAGAAAGACAAAAAGAGAAAGAGAGAGAAAGAGAAAGGGGCTGAGTGCCACTGGACATCAAAGCATGTATTCTGCTGAGGCCAGTTGGTTTTTATTACATCCTGTGCTAGAGAGAGCAAGGGTCCATGGAAAGTCTTGTGCTGTTTGTGTATCTGTGTCAGCAGTTTCACTGGGAACAGAGAGATAAGCACCTTTACTCTCTTTCAGGAATATAGTTGTTGTTGAACTGAGAGCTGTCATCTACACAGCTACACATCTTTTCTTTTCCACATAAAGGAACTTCTCTTTACAACCTAAGCATGAATAAATCCACTTGTGCAGTGATACTTTTACTTGTATTTCATGTCTTTGTCTTTATTTTAGCGCAGCACATAAAGGCAACCTTTTGAGGCAGGTAATCTGTTATCCAAATGGGGCTTCATTCTAGAGCTCTTGCTATGCAATAGTTTCTCTCAATCTCACTATTTTCAAATGACAGAAAACTACTAAAATAAACCGAGGTTTCAGGGAGAATATCTCAAAGAATAGTAAGGGGATATATAGTCTTTAATAAATAACTCAGAAGATCACTAAAGATACTTTGGAGATAAACATACATGACACCCTTTTTCAAATAAAAATGGAAAACTTGCAAGTTTTTGTAAACTGTCATGGTTCTGCCTTCTTATCTGTGTATATTCCTAGTGTTGTGGCAGGACCATGACGGACTCATGTTTTGTGTACAAGCGCATGGCCAATTGTCAAGGCCATGTGCTTGTGTTGTCTCGTCTCTTAACCCCGCCCCCTTGTTATCCTGATTCAGTCTTTATTGCTTCACTCGTGTCACCTGTTATGTCTTGATTAGTCTCCTTATTTAATCCCCTTGTGTTTGCTGTCTTGTGTTGGTTCATTGCCAAACGTTACTTGTGAGTATCCTGTGAAAGTCTTGTCATTGAAGGTCTAGTCATTGTTAGTATCAGTGATGGGAAGTTCGGATCATTTTACTGACTCTCTTGTTCGATCTCGTTCATCAAAATGAACGAATCTTTTTTCGAGTCATTTCGTTCATTTAAGGGGCTTTAAATGTTATACTTTTAACAGGCAAATTCCCCGAACACATCAACTTACGCAATCTTGATCATATTCCGAATTAAGAAATCCTTATAATTCAGTCAAATTTTTTTTACAGGGATAATAAATAATTAATTTACATTCCGAGTCTTTCGTTCATTTGACACGTGACAGACGCAATGAACGGATCGTTCATGAACGACTCATCACTAGTTAGTATCTCTTGAAGTGTTGTTTGTTTTCTAGTATTTTGTCAGTGTCGTTGTTAGTCACCAAAGTCCTGTCTTGTTTTGCCCCCTCGTGGGCTTTGTTTTCCCCTTTTTGTCTTTAATAAATTGTGTGAAGAGCATTCAGTCTGCTTTTGGGTTCGTCAATCTGCATCCACGTAACATAAACGATATGTACACTGTAAAAAATTATCGTGATTTTAACGGTAAAAGACTACAGTGCTACAGTGAAAAACTGTTAATTGGTTAACAGAAAGTTTCCTTACTATATACGGTAAATAACTGTGATATACATAATGGTACATTTAATGTAATTTTACTGTAAAATACCGTTAAATTGACCGTTTTTGGAAGTGAAAAAGAACACGTCATTGTATAATTTACAGTGAAAAAATGTAAATTGACATTCCCACAATTCCCTGCGTGACACTTCACATTTAATGTTTTTTTTTTTTTAAATAACTGTTTCTTCATAATTTTCTTAGTTCTTTTTCTAATCAGTTATGTACATTAGGGTTTTATGTTACATTTAATGTTGTTAAATTAATGCTTATTGCATTTTTTAAATTTCAACATGTTAACATGATGGGGTTTAATGTTTGTGTGAATGACACTGTGCAGCTTCTGTATATTAGTGTTAACTTTCTTGTGGAAGAGCTGCTCATGATGAGCTTTGATTGATCATGTGACTCTCATCACTGCTGTGATTGTTGGCTGTCAATGTATTACAATGGAACAAAACAGATATTAATACTTCAAAAGGTCAGTAAATTAACATTATATCAGATAATGAAATACGGTTTATTGCTGTAAAATTATATATGGTTAAAAGTCTGTAAAACCTTAAATGTTGCTACCGTATTTTTAACAGGAAAACTCTGGTAACTCCAGTTTTTTCCTGTAAATTTAACAGATTTTTTTTTTTTTTACAGTGTCGTCGTCTCCATGTAAACCACAAAAATGTGAATTTGTGTCATGTGCATGCGTATTACGTGTTCAGTCTATAGTGTTTCTGTACACATCGCCAACTACTGGCCTGGCATGAATAATACAGCATTTTAGGTTGTTTTCGCAGATCCATGAGAACGGAAATCATTTTGACAATATTGTCGTCTGTTCATCAACATTTTATACAAGTGATACTAATTGGTAACCAAGGTAACTAAGGGTGCGTCTACACGACAACAATATGCTTAAAACGGAGACGTTTTTCCTTTGAGTTTTCCGCGTACAGATGACACCATTGTCAAAACGTTCCCCATTTATACGGATCCGCGAAAACGACTAACAACTCTGTATTCTGCTGCCAGGCCATTAGATGGCGATGAAACACTATAGACTGAACACGTAATGCGCATGTGCACGACGTCATCGTCTTCAGAGATTCGCGTTTTTGTTGTTTGTCGGAGACCGTTTTCAAAAACTTGCACTTTGCAACCCGTTTCCAAAAAGATTGCGTTTTCAGGCAGCCAAACGCCATTGTTGTGTGAACAAACGGCCAAAAGGCATAAAAAGTTTTAAGTTTTTAGTTGAAAACGGTGTCGTGTAAACAGCCCATTAGAAGGGGAACACAAGAGCTAGACAGAAAGAAACAGAGAAACAGAAGAAGGAGACAAGAACTAAACCGAACATAACCCCTGACAGTTAAACTGACAGTTTAATTTTGACTTTCAAAAACACATAGATCAACCTAAAAAAAATACAATAATATTAATACAAAAATACTTATATGACTTTGACTTTCTGTTTGCACAATCATTATATGAAAAATTACATGAAAACTTTTGTTGAAAATGGTATAAACCCACACAAATCAACATAAAACATAAACTAGATTTAAAAAAAGAAAATCATCACAATTATTATTAAAATTAATTGTAATATACAGTATTTTCTTTCTTTCAATTGCTGTCTGCACACCTTCTCTATTCTCAGGAATCTCTCTATTCTCCTTTAATCCTTCAACTTATTATGGTAATAAATGTTTACTTGTGTAGCATACTCTGCTTTAGCATCCAGATGATTTGTTGTCAGGTATTCTTTGTGCACTCACAGGTTTTATCGATGCTTATTCCTTTCTAATGGTTTCAATAAATCAGAGGGCATATTCCCCTTTAAAAAGTCCTCATGTAGAGCTACAGCTTTCCTACAATTCTATCGGAGAAAGGAAAAACTCTTTTGTAGCCTGATTAGAAATGACAGGCAATTATCATCAAGCCCTGAGTGTAAGTATGGTGAATTGGAGCTCTGCTGTTTAGGGCCAGACGGCTCAAGTTTTAGAGCATGTGAGCAAACTGTTGTATGCCTGTTTGTTGGTCGGTATAGAGAGTGTGTGTAGGTATGTGTTTCTGGCATGGACTTACAACTCTCCTTGTCTCTTTTCACTGTCTTTTTAGGGGAGTTGGAGAAACAACAGGGGGCCAAAACTCACTCCATCAAGAACAACGGGACTCAACTTGAGTTGAAGGGAAGACAAGGTTCTCCAGGTAATTTACAACAAACAACACCCAGACATACATTTATCTGCTGTATGTCTTACCATTTGCATTCAGCATCTGTTCAGGTATTACCTAGCAGGATTCACAGTGTGTGCTATACATTTGAAATATCATCAAAACTCAAAAAAAGAAAGAAGAAAAGGCTAAATACAGTTCCAGACAATATTGGAATGAAAATTTGGAATAAAAAATTGAATATTTCACCCAATATTTGTGTGCAGTGTGCACTGTTTGATATGCTTACAAGGCTTCATTAGCCTAGCAACTTGCTGACGGCACACACTAGCTTCTTGTGCACACACTATTTGTTTGCTGTACAAAGTTGCTGTCTGTTTACAGTGTTTCAGATTAGTCACTCAAAAGTTCCATTAGTTAGTAGGGGTGTAACGGTTCACAAAATTCTGGGTTCGGTTCGATATGATACACTTATGTCAGTGCGTTTTCGATACAGCAAAAAGAAAGAAATGCCAGAGAAATTACCTTGATTAAATTTTTTTAACTATATTTTTTATTAAAACTAACATCATAATACCAAATAATGTCAAAATAAAACCGACGTAATGTTACTTGAAAGGATTATAGCCTTCCTGCCAAACTTCCATGGTTACAGTTAGTAGTGTTACCCTACTACAGTAAATCCATGGTGAATGTTGCTGATCTGTGGACACTGAATAATTCATTCATGGCACAATGTTTCTTCCTGGTTTTCACGTCAGCGCTCTTTGATCGGTTAATAATGGAGAAATGTGAATGTTTCTCACTAGATCTCGCAGCGATGTTATTACTTCAGTGGCGAATTCAATTTTTTTCTTTACTGGATTTCACTGTGTAGTAACAGTGCTAATGATCAAGATCGGCTCGAGCTGCATTGGTCCAAATTGATAAACGGTCCGTCAACCACACAATAACGAGTAGCTCTGTTTCGTTCCGCTTACATTACATTTGCCATTTGATGTTGGGCAATGTTGTGGTCACGCCAGTGTCTCTTACATTATGAGCGCACTTGCCATGCGCGAGCGGCACGACGCGCCTACATTTGAAATAACGAAATTTTGGTCGGCAGGAAAAATGGTCCAACGGAAAAATGGTTCGGTTTAAAAATGCGTACCGAAAACCGAACCGAAAGCCTCGTACCGAACGGTTCAATATGAATACGTGTATCGTTACACCCCTATTAGTTAGCTTGATTCTTTAGACCATAGCTTACTTAAACACAGGCCCGGCACCACGAAGGGACATTGCCCCCTCAGATCTGATTTGAGCCCCCCTCAGTTTTAATTTGACCCCCACACCCGAAACATGATCGATTTAACCTGACGCGTACAATCACAACAGATAGTTCATGATATAATTCAAAAGTTTGTGAATATTTTAAATAAAAAAATGAAAACAAAATAAAAGCGATACATCTGTCAGCGCTATTGTGGAAGCAGTTCCTCCCTCCCCTCCAACATGCACCCCTGGAACGTGATTTTAACCGAGGGGGACCCAACAGAACAACCACCCCGCACGATGGCGCCCTTAGGAATTATGAATGCCCCAGTTCGGCTCTGCCTAGACAGTAGATGAGGTAAAAGTGAGTTAGCAAGGTTATGGAACAGAGTTCGACAGTTTTTTGAGATGGTGACAAGGATGATTACATGCATTCTACATCTGTGCTTTCTACTGTAAGAAATAGAGAGACAGTGTGATTTTGTTTAGGGTTGTATTATTGATGTGAGTTTCAATACAGTAGTGTATTGAAACCTAAAACACCCCTCAAAAGTCAAACAAAAATACAGTCTAATGAACCAGCCTCCAGACTTCAGTCCAGTTGACCCATGTTTGGGTGAATAAAAAAATAAATAAAAAATAAAACACCAGGTATAATTCACTACAAAATCAACATAAAGAAATTGTATTTCTCTTAATATTATTGATTCGACTGCGATGACACTATTGGATGAGGACTGAACTGAGTTTGATGATGACATCACTGTTTTCTGCAGAACTGCTTTATAGGTGAAATTAACTAATTTAATATTTCATGATCTTTTTAATGGAACTAATTCAACACTGAATTGACCTCAGATGAACAATTACACATTTTTCTTTTAGAGCTGCTGTACAGCCGAAATGACCTGTTTGAATCATTGAATAATTTTCCTGTTATCACTGTAAAGCTGCTTTGAAACAATCTGTATTGTGTAAAGCGCTATATAAATAAAGGTGACTTGATTTAACTTAACATAAAAAAAGAAAAATGAAAAAGAAGCCTATACTTGGGATAATTAAGCACTTTTTCCATTTTTTGTGGTTTAGAGATATTTAAATTGCAAAGTACTCATAACCACTTGTAGTATTTGTTTCATTTATACTTATTTAAATAATTGTATTTTTGTCATTTTTAACTATAATGAGAATCATATTTTAGAAGATTTAATAAGAATTCCAAAAACAAAACAAAAAACTCAACTAACAATTTATTAATTCTAATAATTTGGGGCAGAATATATACTTAAGTGGCATAAAATAATGAATTTGTACGATTCTGAAATGTAGTTCACAAATAATATATATTTCTTAAAATATTACTTCCTTTAGTTATTTTGGTAAAATGTAAAAATGTGTCAAAACACTAACTTGATGAAATTAATACTTGGTTTTAATAAATAGAACATTACATAGCTAGTGTAAAAATACTAAATAGATTTACATATATACATTTACATAGAAATACACACACACACGCGCACACACACACACACACACACACACACACACACACACACATATATATACAGTATATATATATATATATATATATATATATATATATATACATATATATATATATATACATTCTGGCATACTCAATAACTCATTACCACTGATATTTTGCATTTGTTTGTTAAATTTATGCTGCTTTAAATTGTATTTAAAATAATTCAAACAACAATGTTGTTGTAGAAAAAAAAATATATCCAGACGAACATTTTGCTCTAGTGATTAAACCTAATTCCAAGCATATTTACTCAAACTATCATCTTGTACTGTATCTATCCAACCATTCCTTAATCTTTAGTCTGACCTGGATTTCTTTTCTCACAGGCAAACAGGAATTGAACACATCACAGAGCGGACACAATGCAGTAGAGGTAAGAGCTCAGTGTTCTCGCAGGTAAGTCCCTACAGACCCCTAGAAGCATCCGTCAGACAGCGTCAGTAGCTTACAGCGCATAGAACACATTAAGTTAGTGAACAGGAATTAACAAGCTACAACAGCCATATGTTCCTGCTGGAGTGAAAATGCAGTGTCCTCAACCAGACGACCTTCCACTTCCCCTCAAGCCAATCTAAACGTTATCGCCGCCAAACCCAAAGTCAACAGAAGCCCCCTGGAGGTAAAACTCATCTGTGCACTGCTGCCCCCTCCTGTTAAATTAACACTGCAGTGTGGAGGAGACTTTCAAGAGCATTGCCAACAGAGGCACAGCTTTATACAAGTATGAAGAAAACAGTTCAGCAGAATCAAACTGTTCAGGAGAAAATGGATAGAAGAGAGTGTTTCAATGCACGTTATGCAAGCTTTCCATCATTGTGGTAGCGCTTAGAAAGGGAGTGTTTTTTTTTTTGTTTTTTTTTTAAACTACTCAAACAGCATGACTAAACTCTCCCTCAAACATGACTATATGTCTAAAAATACTTTTCTAAAAATAGTCTTAAATATATACTTTTAACATTGGAAGTACACTACAAAGGTGCACATTCAGCACAATTAAAGGTGCAGTATGTAAGAATGACAACTAGTGGTTGAAATAGGTACTGCAGTCGAATTCAAAATATTCAAAATATAACGAGAGCAATGGACAATGAAAATCGGCAAATTGGCAACGTGCAGTATCACAGACCAAAACAATAACAAATATTCCAGCCTGGAAACGCACATTTCAAAGTAAAATAACTGGCTGTAGAAGTGTTTTTCAGAGAAACGAGTATGTGAACTTAGCATGTTTCCTCAATATATGCAAACATATTATGGTATTTGTTATGCTTTAATAGAGTGAAAAAGTTACATACAGCACCTTTAAGCAGACTTCTTTTTCACAATTGACTGTTCGCAAAGACCCGCCCCCTTTAGTTACTGTTGCTATGTCCGACAAGCCATGCCGCTCTCACGTCACACCATGTTTTCACGCAGTGCAAAATACATTGCGGAGCAAAGAGGAGACTCGCTTACCATTTTGAATATCAATCATGCTCATGCTGGCGTCTCATACAGTTATGAAAATATTCACACATGGAATGTTCAGATAAGATGACATTAAATTAGAACAGCCTTCTGTCTGTGATGTTGTCTTGACTTCTTTGCTCGCTTCTTTTCTCATGCACTCGTTCACTAAGATGAACAGCCAATCGGAGTTCACTCTCAGACGGCCGCCAATTCAACATGCTCAATCGGCCAAAAAGCCCCCAACGGGGGGTGGGGGGGGTGCCAAGGCCTCTAAGTATACAGATTCAGTTTGTATTTGCAAACTCACACTCAATGCTAACTAGGTAGCACACGTTCAACATTTCGAACAAGCCCCAGTTAACTCTAAAATAAATCTGATGTAGCATCCTTAACTCTCTGCAGGGTTATTAAAGACACTGTAGCAGACAAACCTTGCCTAAAATACATTACCCAGAGGGCTGTGCGATTAGCATCATGATGTAGCACCATCTTCTGTGCACACGAGGGAACTCAAGGACACAATGGCAAACAGGCACTGGGCATAGACCAGTAAATAAAATGGAGCAAACTGGCCGGTGACCTTTTTAGGAATAACAGTGGGTGGTTTAAATGACAATGATTGTAATATATATATATATATATATCAAAACGACAAAAAGATCTGAAAATATTAAAAAAGGTTTATACACTTTATAATACATTTCATTACCAAACATTATATAATGCTTAACCGATCATTAGTTAATATATATTCACAAAGCTTGACATATAACGTCCTTGTTAATGTTTAATGAATTGAAAGTTTAATTGCATTTGTAAGCATTTCAGTTCACATTAAATAACGATCTGTTAATCATTATGTAATGTTCATTATGTAAAGTTCATTAGTAAACATTAACAAGCACATCATCTCATATTTCTAGCTATGTGAATATATATTAACTAATGATCTGTTAAGCATTATATAATTTCTGAATGTTAATATAAAGTGTTACCAAAAAAGATAACTCAAACACTCTCTTTACAAACAGGAAATATGAATAACAACTGGTCTCGGCATTTCAAGATTCTGATTCAACAAATCAGAAGGATCCTAAAGAAATTGTTTAAGAAAATATATACCATTTTTTGTTCACACTTTAGATTAGGGTCCAATTCTCACTATTAACTATTAACTATTGACGATTAACTACGACTATTTCTTTTGCCTCAATTAACTCCTAATTACTGCTTATTAATAGTTTAGGTATTGGGTAGGATTAAGGGACGTTGAATATGGTAATACAGAATAAAGAATTAATGTGCTTTATAAGTACTAATAAACAGACAATATGCTAACAAGCAACTAGTTAATAGAGAGAATTGGACTCTAAATTAAAGTGTTACCCCAATGTTTTATTAGAATTGCCAATTTTTTTTTATAATAATAATATCAATTCTAAATCCACCACCCCTGTCTGCGTGTTTTGTTTAGCAGTCATATTTCCATTTCTGCTACCATTAGATGTAACATATTAAAGGGTTGCTATTAGCCTGAACATGATCAGAGTGGCAGCGACTTCCTGTCTGGCACTGAAAACCCTCACCTTAATCATGCCACATGTAAATGTCAGCACCCCACGAACCCCTGAAGGGCACCGGCTGTCAGAACACATCGCAGGCAGCAGAGGGGTCAGAGGAAACGCCAGCCATATCCTGGAGGAGAGGGCGAAAGAGAGAAAGAAACAAGGTGTCCAACCACTATAGACTAGTTGAGCCACCTGCCAATTTAGACATGGTAGTACCGCCATAACATTTAATAAAACATGCTCTAGCTGTTATGGATGGCAGTGATTGACACATGATAGCTGGACAGGGATGTAAGGTTGAGATGAACTTGACCTGAAAAGTGCAGACACAAACTTTTGATAAGAGAGACAAAAATGGAAGCTGAAGTGTGTTGGACGGTTGCTGAAAGCATTATTATTTCATAATTTATCAGCAGTTTGCAGTATGACACTTTTTTTTTTGCACTTTATCTATTCATGAAGTCAAATTTGGAATATGCAGAAATATAAAAAAACAACAACAACATTTCAAATCCATTTAACTAAAATAATAATAATAAGGCAGCCCTAACATTCTAAAACTAAAATACCAACTCTATTACACGAGCAATTCGTACGAATTCGTACGAGTACGAAGTGGTAAATTCGTATGAATTCATACGACCTCACTCGTATGAATTCGTACGATTTGTCTAAACCCCAGTGATGGGTAGGTTTAGGGGCGGGGTCAGGGGTAGGTGATTTGTACAAATTCATACAAATTGGGCAACTCGTAAAATATCTACGATTTAGCAACAATCGTACGAATTGCCGTGAGATTGGCTTGAAAATACCTAAAACTAGGTAAAACCTACGGAATCATCATACTAGAAACTACTGTTCACAAACACAGTTTTTACCTCACCTGAAACCCCCCACACTCTCTGTTCTCAGACAAAGTGGTGCACCGCCAGTCAATTCGTACCCTAACCCCAACAGTCAAGAAGATTGATTCACAAGATGAAGATGCCCTCACTTTAGCCCTCAAGCTAAACCTCGAGAGCCAACATCTATCCTGAGACCAAGCTAGACTAACTCACTTTTTCACCTGTGAACTATGTTCATCACTCCTCAAAGTCATCAATCCCAGAAGCGTGTCTGTATCCCACAGACAATCGTGGAGGCATTTCATTAGAGCCCAGGAGATGGTTAGAAAGAATGAGAGAGTTGTTTGCAAGTCCTGGCAAACTCTTGTTTAAGCCCCGAACCTTAAGTGTTAGAAATAGTAATGGCATGCGTTCAGATGTGTGTCGTCCGTAGTTGTCCAACTACACCCTTCCCGTTGTTTAACCTGTCCCACCCTCTCTTGTCCCCCTTCTTCCCTGAATCGTTCTTCATTTTCTATTCCTAAAATGCTCAAGTGGTTTCCAAGGGAGACACAGGGGCCCTCAGTGTCCTCTTAATAACCACCACGCACCTTGTAGACACAAACACACGGCCCCCAAAACCCTCCACATCTGCATCCCCGATTCCAGCTTCCCACCCTCTGTCCGAGTTGCTAGACACCGAGCAAACCCGTTGTGCCACCCAACACTTTACGCATGTCTTTTGTGATGTGTGTTCACCGGAGGGCTGATGGCGGTAGAAGGAGAACAGTCTTATAACATATGATGCTATCTCTGACTGTTTTCTAAACTAGGTGTCAATTCACAACAGGCTTCAGACGTACCAGCTCAACACGGCACCGTCGAGCCCTGAGAGCGCCGCCCTTCTCAACCACCAGAGGGACCTCTTCCAGCAGCCTCCATTGCAGCACGCCAGCCCCACACCCTCGCACTCCTACCAGCCCATGGCACTGACCGAGATACGACCAGACACGCTCATCCAGTGCCAGCAAATCGTCAAGGTCATCGTCTTGGACAAAGGCGGTCACGGCCGCATGGAGGCGTTCCTCAGCCAGAGCCCCACTCATCACCAGCTCATCCAGTCTGTGCTCTCCACACCAGTGCGTTCACCCGACAGCGGAGGCAACCAGGGGGGGAACGACGGCTCACAACCTCCATTGCCTCCACCACCACCACCATATAACCACCCTCACCAGTATATACCCCCAGATCCCCGCCTTGCACTGCAGAGGACCCCAAGTGGCTCTCGTAGCCTAATGTAGAGTAAAAACCAACAAAACTGCAGGCGCACTTTTACAGTATTTATCTACATATGTATATACATGAAAGAAATATAATGAAAAAAGCTATCTATATACATATATTTAAAGTGACAGACATGAAGATATGAAGACTTTATTGACTTTGCAGATATGTGAAAACAACTAATAAGAAAATACGATTTACTTAATCGCAGTGTATTTTGAAGCGTTATGTAGTTTTAACAAATTTCTTAACGGTTTTTCGTCTTTCTGGACACAAGCTGAGATTATATTGCTGAGTACTTGTCCTTGACAGGATTTCTCTGGTGCATTTTGTTATAGACAAAATGATTTCACGAAAAAAAAAAAAAGTGATACCCGACAACATTCGTTTCAATTCCACTGACACTTGCTTTTGTGTGGGAGCTGGTTTTAAGTGTAAAATCACCCTTTTGGCTTTTATTATCCTACTGATGTCTATTTAGTGTGTATGTGTGTGTATGCTTTTGACTGGAAAATGATGTACGTGCCAAAACGAGGACACCCTCCACCGTGGACTTTTTGCACTCTTGAACGCTTAGGGCTAGAGTAAACATTTGTGCTTATATCGATCATTTAGATTCCCTACAGGTATACAAACATTTGAAAAAAAATATATGTATATACATTTAAGCAGTACCATTTCCCACAAACTGTTTCTTCACCCACTTATGTGGCCGATGTTGTATCCCTGTGAAATGTGATTTACTTCCTCATCACCTGTCTTTGAAAATGTCTTTTATGTCACTTCTTTTAACTGATATATGTGTGTAAATTAAGAATGTAGAAAGAAATAAGGCTCTTTCACATGACTCGTAGCATTGATCCCAAGTGTGTTGGCACTTGGGTCAAAAGTTGGAACATGAAGGGTTAGTTCACCCAAAAATGGTAGGCCTAATTCTCTCAATAATTACTCACCCTCATGTTGTTCCAACCCGTAAGACTTTCGTTCATCTTCGGAACACAAATTAAGATATTTTTGATTAAATCTGAGAGCTGTCTCACTCCTCCATAGGCTTCTCTGTAATTGAAACTTGCCGGCCCAGAAAGTTAGTAAAGACAATGTTTAAAATAGTGACTACAGTGGCTTAACCATAAGTTTATCAAGTGACGAGAATACTTTTTGTGCGCAAAAACCCCCCAAAATAACGACTTTATTCAACTATTAATTTTCTGCTGTGTGGGCCTCTGACGTGAGTTCACGTAGTGTAACAGCACAGCGCTTATACGTCAGAACGTAGGCTCGCTATTGGCCAACGCTGATCATGTGTGTGATGCGTGTGATGCTGGCCAATAGTGAGCCTACGTTCTGACGTACAACCCAGAAGCGCTGCGTGTTACACTACGTGAACTCATTTTCTGCTGATCTTTTGAAATATAATATACTTAGCAGAAAATTTGCATGAAGTATCATCACGTGAGCAGTGCTGATGCAAAAAAATTAAAACAAGATGAGATCAGTAAAAACATGTTTTCAATATTCAAGGGGAATTCGCTAATGAATTCGCCTTTGGCTAAGCCACACCCTAGAATGTAGATTGACCAATCACAGCGCAGCCAAGAACGAGCTCCCACAGAGGTCCGACACTTTTTCACAGCGCTCCATTGACTTTAACACAGGCGTCTCATATTTTTGGTCTCGGCAGGCTATTACCGTCGTAGTTATATCAAAAATATGGTTAAACGTTGTGTCTGGGGCATTTGTAACACAGATACGCGTTTCCCAGAGAGGTTGGAGGGGGGTGTGCGTTTTTTTCCCTTCACAAAACCGAAGTCAAATCCTGACAAGTGTCGTCTAGCACACGCTGCTAATAAATACAACGTTATACTCGCGTAGTCCGTTTGCTTTGTAATAACGATTATATAAGTGAATAGACACCTACCCAGCTTTGCATGAACAGATATTGTTAGTCCCAGCCTCCGTCTCGATTAGTAGGATATGCGGTGGGTCATTTTTTGACTGTGACCGGTATGCTTTTGCCTCTATTTGGATGCCTTGTTGTTCCTTGCGTCTCACCTGTATGTCGTGAATATAGCCTTCGAACGTATATTGCAGACCCTTTTGCCTACTTCTATCGGACACTTTATTTCCTGCTTTATAAAAGTTTGATAAAATTTCAGCAGGAAGAGCTGTCACAGCATAAGCCATGTTGATACCAGAGCCCAGATGAAGTTTGTTTGTCGGACGTAGCAACAGTAACTAAGGGGGGCGGGGCTTAGCCAAAGGCGAATTGCGCCCACCTGTAGCACCATTGATAGCATGTTCTTGTTTTAGCACCTGATTTGCAAGTCTTGGCACAAACATTGCCAAAAATCATATTAAATACATTCTTTTGTCACAGTCCCAGCGGACTACTACAATCTGGCATGCTTTACAAGGAAAGTACAGCATTGCCCTGGTGGACTGATGAAGTATAAATGGCCATTTATGACACTCTTCTCCATTGTTTGATCATCATTTGATGCATTATAGCTGCCCTGACATATAGCATCCCTAACAGCAACATAGTGTCGGCCCAGATCTGGGCCACATCTGGATTCCACGCTTACCTTAGGTTGAAATATTAGCGTTGGATTTTTTCCTGTTTTGACTCTTTCCCTGCTAGCGTTTTATTCCGTTTGTCTCATAAATGACGGAAAATTCCGTCAATGGCGGGGAAAGAGTTAAGCTCAAATACATGTCACCTCTTCAGTTGGCTTTCACTATGTTCACTGTTTACTACCTAGCAACTTCATAAAATTGCCTTTGTGAAGGTCAAAGCGTGCAGAGGGCTGTGTTAAAGCCCTGACAGGAGTCATGTGAAAGGGCTTTTAGTCTGTGGCAATGTATTTAGGCTCAACAAATAGAAAAAAGAGCCAATCACAGCCAACGAACCCCGTTTGCAACGGCTATAGTTCTCACGCTCAGGAATTTCAGAGAGTACCTGAAAGAAGACTGAGATCTTTTAATGCTTGTACTTGAACTTTATGTAGCAACTTGGAACGTATAAGGCCAATGTGAAAAGGCCATTCGATCCCAGCAACCATCTTTGGACACGTTGTAGGTTTGTCTGACATTCTGTGAAAAGATGACAGAATGCTGCATTACTGTCGTCACATGACTCAGACAATGTAACATGGTTTCATTGTGATATTCCTTCATCAATACTCACAACTACATAAAACGCCCAAGAGACACATCGTCAGCACTATCTCTGCTGTTTCACTTCTAAAACTCTTGTTTGAAGATTTTTCGAGAGCCAAGTAACACTTGGAACATCAACTGAGATGCACATTGTTGGCACAAAACACCTTAACCTAAATGTTTGTCTGGCTTTATCTAGTTGTTTTCCGCCAGCTGAATGGAAAACATTTCAATGGTTTATTTTTGTTTTGCTTGTATGTAGCTCATATATCAGCATATAAAGCAGCAAAGAATTAGCTCTGATAAATGTTAACTACCCACAATCCAACCATTTCTGATAAAAGCTGTCATTGAAACATTAAAGTCAACATGAAACAGAATTCACCACCTATTTTGCTTCCACTGTGTAATGTGATAAATTATATTTAGTGACAATTTCGAATGGACCATGGAAAGTGGGAGTTACCATAATAGAGCCAGACATAAATTTATGTTAAGAAACATAAAGGTGAAAATCATGCTCGATGACCCCCATTGGTGAATCTTTTCTTTTTTCTTTTTTTTTGACATTATTTTCTATTATTGACGTATTTTTTATTAAATTAACGTTAATGTACTGTACCAATTGCCTAAATAGCTATTTGCAATATCACCTAAGAAAAACTAATTTGTTTTAGAGGCACAGAAACCAGGAATGTGTATTAATTTGATTTCATGTCGACTTTAAGCTGGAGGATTTGTATTCGTAACACCATTGATATGCCATAGTTAGCAGTGTGTCCTATTTCCTCTGTTTTCTTATGATTGGGTGTTTGTTTCATAATTATATTGCTGCTGTTTGGAGCTCCGAATCTCATCTGTGTTTCCTCTTCTCGTTGTGTCTTTATTTCCATGTACAATGACGGTTTGTACACCAGGTGTTTCATATACAGTATATATAGAAACTCAATTGTACAACCTGGACATCAGCGAATTGTCTATTCCTCTGAATGAACGCCGCATCCTTTTGTTTCTCACACATTTTCATTCCAAAATAGAATTTCTGTCATTATTTAATCTTCTTCATATCAAAGCCTGTTGTTGTGTCAGAGTAAAAAAAAAAATACAAATAAAAAAGTTAATTGTGACTTCATGTCACAGAATTATGATTTCATATTTCACAACTGCAATATTTGGGACTTTATTGTGCGTTCATCAACCCAGACTCATTGGGAAAAAATGCGTTTGGTGACATATCTGCAAAATTATATGATCTTGCACGTCACTGCACAATGAAAGTGAAATGTTCAGTGGATGGCACTAAAAGCGCGTTCAATTTTCTCTGAAACCGATGGTTATGAATGTGGCAAGATGTGTTTCTGCAGTTTGGAAATGAAAAGTCCAGTGAGTGGCAATAAAAGGTTAATGCATAAAATAATGTACCACTTACATTAAACCATACCCTAAACCTAACTGGTAGTGTTAACAGAAGCAATTGTGAGATAAAAAATGCGTTTCCTGAAATAATCCATTGCCATTTTATCTTGCTTCTACAATTCTTTGAGCTCTTTTGTCGAGTGTAATGACTTGTGTTTCATACATCGCAAGTGTGCAACACTGTACCTGCTGAGCAAACAAGCAAGTTTTTGTGAAAGAGGAATAAAAGTTAGTGACCACTAGTGGTCATTTCAACATGCGAGCATACATTTCCAATGAGCCTTTGTTGGATTCATAGATGTTACTTTTGTATTGGAAAAAGCGGTGTGAATGTTCTTCAAAATATTTCCTGCGTACAAAATAATAGTTTGGAACAACATGAGGGTGTGTAAATAATGACAGAACACTTCGCAGATCCAGCCTTAGAGTAACGGACAGCTGTCATGGAGATTGATCAAAGAATTCAACAGCAGCTTAGTCTGGAAAATAAGTGTGTTGGAGAATTGCACAACCTGCTTGAAAAAAATGGTGAATGGTTTCCTTTCTAAGTAATACTGAGTGACAGGAGTTCACTTTTTGTCTTTCTCTCTTCGTAGCCTTGCATTTCGCCCCTGAGGGAGTTGGCGTGGAGGTGATGGAAACAGGGAGCCAGATGAATTGTGCATGACCCTGGTTTTGAGGAGTTTATTATGCTTGAGCGAATGTGCCCTGGCTAGCAAATAAGATGTGATCTAACCCAACACATGAGTGTTGAATTAAAGCCTTCACACAACCAAAGGCTATGATGCTAATGCTAACCTTGGTTTAGCCTGCAGAAGGGCTATTGCACTGGTGTGCTATGCAGCCTTCAAGTCACATCGGAATGATGGTATTTATGAGATGACTGCACTCGAGAGACACCATAATGTCGTAATCATCATTAGCTCGTATGTTAACTACTCATTCTTTGGGGCAGCACAAGAATTATAAAATACATAGATAAGGCATTAACTATACACTAATGTGCATCCTTTTGTTTTTAGCAGTAGAGCTACAAAGCTACCTGTTTTTGTTCGGAAGTGAACACAGGAAGACAAATAAATGCTTAAAGCGTACATTTTATTCCAAACAAGATCACTTGAACACACATCATGTTTTACTGATGATTTCACAACTCATTAAATCATCCCAGGAGAACTTGAAGACAGCATAGCATCAACGTTTATTAACACTACTTTTGACAGTAAGGTATTGTGAGTTAGCAATTTATTTAAAAGTGTGTTTGAAAGGCCCATTATACAATTGCGTGTTTTACTGTGTCTATATAGATTTACATTCTATTAAACATGTTTTCTGTCTATTCCAGGCCTACATGTGAGGTCTGGTTATTTCTTTACTGTCCTTTTCAGACTGACATGAGTGGTTTGTTGTATTAGTAAATGATGGCGCTTTTTTGCAACTGTAATGCAGAGCCATGGATCAACACATGTAGGTCAGAGGTCAGCAAACTTATAATATCTATTTTTCCTGTCAGAACTGCTGCTAAAATGGAAGGCAGTAATAAAATATCACTGTGCATATTGGTTTTGGCTTCAATACTGCTGCTTTGCTCTACTGGATTGTTAATATATGTCAAAGTATGCAAGAAATAAAGTAAGACCATAGTTCCTCTCAAGACATTCTTATTGTTTAATTTTCTGAAGTTTTTTATTTATTTTTTTTATGTATTAATTACTAACTGTTTTTGCCTTTATAGAATTTGAAACTAATCAACAAATTATTTTGTGAGGATAAAAACGAATACAGTCATCACAATGGAAGTTCTCTTTGTAGCTTTGGTAACACTTCACATAGACCTTGATCAGAGCAGATGGCATAGGCCCATTTAATTTGACGTAAAATGAAAAAGAGACTATATTGAATAAATTCAATATGCTGTACGATGTTAAAGACTCCATGAAATCAATGTTTTAGTTCATGTCTATGAACACTTGAGCCCTTCGATATGTCCCACCCAAACTTCCTGTTTCAACAGGAAATATGTCAGGACCGCATGCTAAGGACTGCAGTGTCTAGCATCAGTCACTAGCACGCCTCTTAAGGCCTGGGGAGGGAGGTTTACTCGCACAGCTCTTACTAGTTTGTTTCTATTACACTCAACCCCCTAAACCTCACTCCCATCCGGGTCACGGCACCAAATGCAACCGGTCCTACTCGATCCACTCCGAGCGGGATTTGAACCGGTGTCTTCAGCATGGGAGGTGGGCGCGCTAACAAGGACGCTAAAGACCGCAGTCTCTAGTGTCAGTCACTAGTGCTCCTCTTGAGGCCAGGAGAGTGAGGTTAACATGCACAGCTATTAGCTTGCTTCCTTTACACATGCATAATATAGTGTTTTTAGTTGGTTTTGTGGATCTGTGTGAACGGGGATTGTTTTGACAACGTTGTCGGCTGTACACAAAATACGCAAAGGAACACTTTTCCGTTTTAGTACATTATGTCGTGTAAACGTAGCTTAAATGATTTACAGTTAAATGGATTGTACAGGTAGAATTCTCATAGCCTTGTTTTCATTATTTCAAATTGAATGTTGTCTACTCTAAAATATTGTCTATTGCAGTGTACGTTACACATATAAGTGTAACGGAAAAAAAGTTATATGAAGTATGATCATTAGCATGACTTAGTTCTTACTACACTTTAACATGAATGCTGCTGAAATGAAGGGAAACAATGCATGGTTTACACAACGTTTTTGTTTTTCGTTTGATTAAAACAATATTCCCATCTAACAAATGATGCCCAGAAAAATTAACAGAAACCCAGAAAGTCTTCGAGGTTCACTGAAAAGACATTTTATGATGTAAAAACTGTTTAAGGAGCAGTTTTAATAATAAATCAGATGAGAAAATGACTTTTTCACATGAACAAATCAATACGTTGCAAACAAAACTAATTTACACAACTTTTTTGAGTTACGTTTTTCAAGATACTAGATTTTCAGTCTGTTTTATATGATATCTCATATAGGTTTCATTAGACCTTAACCTTATACTTTTGTGAAGTTATATTTCTTGCAGTATGACAAACAAACCTCAATCTGAATCTATTTTACTAGTTTGCTAATGCTTTTCTAATTTTTATGCATGCAGCCTTTATCACCTCTTATTAATTGAGGGACTAATTGTACTGCAAAATTTGGCACACTGCAAGGCCATATAAAATGAGCTTGTAAAGGCAAAAAGTTATTAAAAGGGTGAAAAATAAATGGTGGACAGTTACGGGACCTAAGATCCCAGACAGCAACATAGTGTCGGCCCAGATTCGGGCCATATCTGGCACATGTGGATTCAATGCGCACCAGATGTGGGCCAGAACTGGGAAGACACTATGTTGCTGTCTGGAATATACACTCTCCCTTATACATTCAATTTTGAACCTAAAATCTTAATGTTGATAAAAAAATAAATAAATACAAAAAAACAGTTAGTGTACGTGTTGTGTCAACTACCTTATGTCAATTTCATTCTGTCATTCCAGGTCTTTCAAAAATACAAATGGATTTCCTGTTAATTTAGTTCAATACATTGTGGCAAGAATAATCGTACTTGGCCTTCAAAATGAGCCACTATAATATTACCATATATTATGCTGAAACCAAGAGGAACAGAGCACTAAACACATGCATTCACTCGCCAACTTGAGGTACAGTAAATACTGTGAAAAATTGTATATTACACAGGAATGCAACGGTTACGTAGGCCTTCCAATGGCCTATCAACGGCCTGGATTATTTCTAGCTTTATACTGATAGTCACTGAAACGTATTTCTCCTCTCAATACAGACTGCAGCCCCCTCATATTACGTGATGCAACATAAGAGAGGGATGTAGAGAAAGAAATGCAAGAAAACAGATGAACATGTGTGTAATCCACTTCAATCTGCTGTAGATTCTCCAACAGAAAAAAAGAACGGAATGGAGGAATAGTTATTTTGCCATTGGTTTAATGGCCATTGTACAGAAAAGAGGAAATGATGTCAGACTGAAGCTTCATCCATACTTCCTGTCCGTGAGGATTGCTGTGTGATATCATTGGCATCCGAAATTGTGACCTCTCTGGGTTTGGTCATCTTGTGCCAGCGCTGAGAGGGAAAAACAATAGCCAATGACAATTATTGTACTTTACTACAGAATAAAAAAGAGAGAGATAAATTGTTGGAAGGAAGGAAATTAAGAAGGAAGTACATTTGGAATTTCCAAATGAAGGAAGTATGCAAGTTTGGAAAAAATACATCCAGAGTGAAGTAAGTTTGTTTGCAAGTTTGTTCAGGAGGAAGAATGAATGAAGGGAGGAAAGAGGTTTAGTTGAATGGAAGTTCATGTGGGAGTATATTGGGAAGTTCGGAAGTTTGTTCGTTCAGAAGGGAAGTTTAAAAGGAAAGGACTTTCAAAGGCAAACTTGGAAGTTTATTCTGAAGGAAGGAAGAACAGAAGGAAGGATGTATTTTTAATTATTCAGAGGTTTGTTTGCTTGGAACGAAGGAAGGAAGATTTTAATGAAGTAAGGAAAGGAGTTTATATGAAAGAAAGGAAGGAAGTTTGTGAGATCAAAATGAAGGATGTTTTGAATTCAGAAGGAAGTTGGGAAGGAAGGGGGTTTATAGGGAAGGACATACATTTGGAAGCCGTTGGAAAAGAGGCAACTGTGACAAAATGTGAAAATTGTTAGGCCAGAAACAAACTGTCAGAAAAATTGTAAAAACATTTTTCTACAGTTTGCAGTTTGTCACTGGGGCAGTACCCTTAAAAGGACAACTTTGTTCCTTATCAACACCTAAAAGTACTGTATGTAGCCCTAAGGCACTACAATTAACTTGAATGGCTAAATAACGTTCAAAGATGTCCGTTTATGGGTACTGCCCAAGTGACAGGCTGTTGTACCCCAAAAGGTACAAGTTTTATAATATTTATCTGAGAATGCACTAAATCCATTGGAGGTCTTGCCTGTCGGATGCTGCCTTTGGTAGTGATGAACATATAGATGATATATCCGGGTATAAGAATCATGGAAGAAAGCGACATTAGCCAGCCGATGCCCTGACCCCAGGTCGGGTACACATACTTCCCTAATGTCAGAGGAGTCATTTCTATGGCACTGAATGTGAAAACACCCTACAATCAGGAAACACATAAGACAAATCAATCCTCAGTTCATTAAGGACATGAGTGATTAACTGGATAACCAATTACTTAATTCACCTTATAGTTGAATGAAAGGATAAAAGTGATTTAATTCAGAGGGTGTGTTCACACTTGGCATGTTTGGTTCGTTAAAAAAACCCCATGGTCCGATTGCTCTGTTAATGCGGTTCAAGTGTGAACGCTACCATCCGAGACCTGGTGCGCACCAAACAAGTGAACCCAGACTGCTAAAAAGATGAGTCTCGGTCTGCTTTTAAACGAACTCTTGTGAGGTTTGAATGAAATATCAACGCAACACAAACCAAAGACAGGTCAACGAACCAAAAACCGGACATGAAGTCACAAGATGCGACCCTTAAAAATAGAGGTCAACTGATTATTCGGTTTTGCCGATTAACAGATAACGATTACCGATTACACTCGATTACGGCACCGACAACCGATTACTGGTACAATCGGTTATCAGAAAAAATCTATACCGATACTTTTTCCGGGTTGCATCTGTTGCTGGATCAGCTGAGAAGGGCCCAAATATCATTATACAGTACGAGAGCGGCCTCTAGAGGCGAAATAAAAACTAGCATTGACGCTTCGAGGAGTTTGTTTTGACATGTGAGGCAGCACCAAGGGGGTAATCCATCGACCGGAAGTTGAAGCCGGCCGGGTGCCGCCATGTTGTAGCAGAACTTCACTTGCGTTAGCATTTCCATTGACTCCCATTCATTTTGGCGTCACTTTGACAGCGAATAACTTTACATCTGAGGCGTTTAAAGTCTCCATTTGTCCATTATTTATTTCTAAAGAAACACGACAATGTATAAAGGGCTCCATTACCTTCTATGTTACATTATGGCCCCGTAGAAACCGATTTAGTAAAAATAGGCTAACGATTGCGTCATAACCACTCGACTCTCTGTCGCGCTGTACAGAAATGACCGTACAGACAGGAGGAGAAGCTCGCAGGCAATCGGGGGACGTCCCGTCAAGGGAGAAGCCCATAGATAATGAGTCCATAAAAGCAACGGAATACTTACTCCTGCTCACTCACGCCAAAGAACTCTTTGCTCAAGTTCCTTGTCTCTGCAAGATTAACGTTGGCAATTTTCACGCACAGCTACTAGAAGATGTACGTCTGTCAGACAGGTTGCTCACGTCATCAAGCTTAGTTTGAGTCGGTTTGAGTCTGCGGGTCAGGAACGGAAGTGCTCAAAAATCGCTAAAAATGGGCTTCACCTGTCTCAACTGAGTTCCAATGAGATGGCTCTGTCCACTTCTTATACTGTCTATGGGCAGCACGCTGCATAGAGCGGGACACTTCAGATGTGGATTTAAAACAGACAACGAAACGGTATGTATACAGTGCACTACAGTATGTTTTCATATCATTATGAAGTAATTTGTTGACTAGATGCTGCATTAGTGTAGAACAACAGCATGTTTGTAATCGAGGGTGAGAGGACGCTAACATTAGTACCTCAAGCGGTGTGACAAATGTGACAAAAACACACACCCAAAAGTCCAACCCAAATGTTTAATGTCATGATTGTTAGCATCTATTTGCATTAATTTAAATCCTGCTGGTCGCTTTAATGCATTCGTTCTCCAGCGAAGTTGCATATTTAAAGCTAGTGACATGAGAAAGCAATTTATGTTCATGCAGGCAACAGAAACACATCAGAAATAAATCAGAAATGCATCCAATTTCAGTTTTTTTTATCTTCACTGTAATACATAATTTGTCATTTTAATTAGATAATCATCAAGTGTTCTAAAAGAGAAGCAAGTAACGTGTAATATATACCTACAATACACATGTGTATCTAATTTCAATGCTCTTAAAGAGCGCCATCTTCAAGCATAACTGTTTGGATTTATATGAAATGATAACACTTTACAATAAGAGTCCATTTGTAACCTTGACTAAGGTTAATAAAAGTATTTTCATTGTTAATTTCAACATTTACTAATACATTTTTACATTTTAAAGTTGTGTCTCTTAATATTAGGTAATGCACTATGAATTAACATGAATGATCAAGGTATAAATAATAAATGAATATTATTTATATTTTAAAAAGTACAGTATATTTTCATAGTCCATTACTGTTGTTTTATTTCTATAATAAAGTTCAGCACTATTTTATATGTTATGTTGGTTTTAGTCATTATCCATTTATTGTTATATACGTTCGACAAGCAACACGTGTGTGTGTGTGCAGTTTTATATATTTCAGTGTTAAAAATTATAGTGCAAACCAGGACTAAAATGTCCTTTTTTTTGGTCCGAACCAAAAGAACCAAGTGAACCGAACTACAAGTGTGAACGCATCTTTCAATTGCAACCCTGTCTAGTTTAAAGCAGTTCAACTTTGAAAACATATCAAAGATGTTGCAATTTGCAAGTGATATACTTACCAAACAAATTGTTGGAGTAAAGTACAACCAGCATTGTTTCCAAAAGCCACAAGGCCGATAACCAATCATGTCTTCAATGTTTTTATAAAATTTCTCTGCGCCTAGAGAGAGAGAGAGACGTGATGCATACAGTACACACATACAATGCAATGATGTTTGAAGCACTGCTCACACAGAAGCCACTTTCAAATCAAATCAACGTGGCAAATCTGCATGACCAACTTTCCCAAATGCAAAATCTACATTGGGAAATATTTTGCCGTCACGTGAAATTCACCATAGTATGGAAGCTTGTTTCCGCCACTGAATGAAAAATAAAAAAGGTAATTGCGACTTTTTATCTCACAATTCTGACTTTTTTTCTCACAATTACGCAATTCTGACTTTATTTCTCACAATTGCGAGATGTAAAGTCAGAATTGCATGATATAAAGTCAGAATTGCGACATATAAAGTCAGAATTGCGTGATATAAAATCGCAATTGCGTGTTATAAAGTCAGAATTGCGAGATATAAAGTCAGAATTGCGAGATATAAAGTCAGAATTCCGTGATATAAAATCGCAATTGCGTGTTATAAAGTCAGAATTGCGAGATATAAAGTCAGAATTGATTGATATAAAGTCGCAATTGCGTGTTATAAAGTCAGAAATGCATGATATAAAGTCGAAATTGCGTGTTGTAAAATCAGAATTGTGAGATATAAACTATTCTGAGGGGGAAAAAGTTCGTCTTTTTCCCCCCTTAGAATTGGCCTGATAACTCGCATTTGCGAGTTTATATCTCACAATTCTGAGAAAAGATGTCAGAATTTCGAGATATAAACTCGCAATTATGTGTTATAAAGTCAGAATTGCGAGATGTAAACTCGCAATTGTGAGAAAAAAAAGTCAGAATTGTGAGATAATTCTGTCTTTTTTTTCTCGCAATTGCGACTTTATTTCTCATAATTGCGACTTTATATCTCGCAATTGCGACTTTATTTCTCAGAATTGCGACTTTATATCTCGCAATTGCGACTTTATTTCTCAGAATTGCGACTTCATATCTCGCAATTGCAACTTTATTTCTCAGAATTCCGACTTTATATCTCGCAATTGCGACTTTATTTCTCACAATTCTGACTTCATATCTCGCAATTGTGAGATAAAAAGTCGTAATTATTATATCTATTTTTTTTATTCAGTGGCGGAAACAAGCTTCCATACAATGCACAGAGGTTAGCTTGAACTGTTCATTTTTTGTCAAAACTACAAATGTCTCATCCCTGTATAGTCTAAGTTTATATTAGGAGATGTACCGTATAACCAAGAAATGGAGGTTGTCTCAAAGAAGACCAAGAACAGAAGACACATTCCACTGGCCGAGTAGTAGTCAAACAATTTGAACACGTATAAGCCACCCTAAAAAAAAAAAGAGCACACAGCACACAGCAGTATGATACATCACTACTGTATCATAACTTACTGTCTGTCGCTGAAGAGAACATACAGTTATAAAACACTAATAAAACAGAAGTTTTCAGGCAGTCATCGTATACCTGGGTGATGTTGGAGAAGCCGATGATGAAGGATATAATGCAGACAATGAGGATGAAGACTTTCTTTCTCTTCCTCAGGACTGTGGGATATTCGTCCATCAGAGCAGTTATGAAGCCTTCCACTGTACAAAACTGTCACAGACAAGTGTGCATGTACACATTAATACATTCACGTCATGCACTAATATACAGTGCTTTCATGATGGTTGACAGTTGATTAAAGACACTTTTATGAATACCTATTGGAAACCATGTTTGAGCAGTTCCACTTCACACATCAACATAATATATTAAATTACTAGTATTTTTTATTAGTTAGCTATTTTAGAACTACACTGTAAACAAAAGTTGCTGCCTAAAGTACAATAACCTTGGATGTTTAAGTCATTTCAACTGACGAAAAAATGACTTTAAAAACTTTGATGAGTTAAAGCAATTTAAAAACATATGTTATCATAACTTATTGATCATACAGTGTAGGAAATAGAAACATGTACAGTATACCTTACAGACTGAATTTCTGCAGCAAAGCTTTGGAGTAACTTACAAATTGTATGCTTCTTGTAACTTTTTTAAAAGTAAATTAATAAGTTTCAAAATTTGCATGATATGTTTAAGTTTGTTTTTACCGGTAAGTTTCAAAGAGTCAATGCCTGCAGTACTTTATGGTATTCATTGAGTTACTTATTAATAGAAAATAAACATTAAAAAAAACCTTTTGCTATATTTTATGTTTCTATGTGTTCTTTAACAATAGCTAAGATGGCTATGTGAAGAGACTACATTTTATGTGCTGAATTCTCTTGTGATCAATTCGGTCACTGGCAAACTAAAATAACACCACATGAATTATTTGTAAATTGTTTCATTTGAATAATTAAAAAAGCTCTGAAATCTATAGAAGAATAATGGTGCGTGCGATGCTGCTAAATGTAGTGCCATTAGAGGAGTATTGTGGGTTCAATAAACCTTAAGCTCTAGCGATTTAAAAATGCCATATATAGCGACAGTGTCTGTGGAATAATGTCGACTACTACAAATAATACATTATTTTGATTTGTCAAATAGATTGCATTTTAAGATTTTTATATTTAAATCTTAAAATGCTTATCCTGTGTGTGTGTGTGTGTGTGTCTAGTACCTGACTGTCCAATCCCAGCATCATGAGCATTGAGAAGAAGAGAATAGACCAGAGTGAAGACATGGGAAGCTGTGTGACTGCTTGCGGATAGGCCAGAAATGCCAAACCAGGACCTGAAAGTCATAAGTGTAAATATGAGTCTAATTTCACCATTTCAAACTTAAAAAATAAATATGTTCATGTTCATACCAAATCATGTTCACTTTTGAAATCAGCTGTCAATCCGCTGAAAAATGTTATTCCCCAGCACTTTCAAAGTGTTTTAAGTTCTCAAAAAGTCATGATTACTTTTTTTTTTCCCTGTAATAACTACTCTTTTTAAAAGTATGCTGAAGTGTACTTTTTCATAAGGATTTGCAATAATGGAATTTGTGACTGTATAAGAGACATAATGACCTGAAGCAGCCAGTTCTTCAATGGGTCTCTTTGTGATGTGCGACATAAAGCCCACAATGGAAAATATGACGATCCCAGCGAACATACTGGTGCAGGAGTTTATGCAGCACACAATGATAGAATCTCTATAGATGGAACAAGAATCAGGTCAACTGAATCAAAAGTGGAAACAATGCACAAACTGAACATAATTTCAGAGAAAAGGCAATTCTGCACATCAGATCACATGACAAGTACACACCACATGTACATAATGTCTGAACATGTGGACAGAGACTAGTATTTCTCACTTGTAGACATTATTGTTGTAGGAGTTGTAACTTCCCAGAGCAATGAGAGAACCTAAACCCAGACCGTAGGAGAAGAAGATCTGAGTGGCGGCATCCAACCACACCTGAGAAGAAATGCAAAAATGAGAAATATTGATAGTATCAGAACTGTCAGTGCATTAGTTACATGCATTTGATATATGATTTAGCCAACCTGAGGATTTCTGTAAACTACTTAAGCTATTCTTAAAGTGTAGCTTGACATGTTGCAAGATAAGAGAGAACCATATCTTTGAATAATAATGTCTGTAAAATACTGAAGCTTTCAATAAACTCTAAAATGGCATCCTCTGTGGACACAGGAAAGAGCAAAAGCTTGTCCGTGAAATTTACGGACAGCTACAGTTAAAGTCTCATTCTCATTAATAAGGCTCTAAGGCTTAGAGTATGGTCAGTTAAAACATTTTGGTTTTGCCCACTTACTCAGAACAATACTTATCCTAAAGTTTCAAATGTGTCTCAAATATTAACAGTAATTATGTTATAAAATTTAAAACATCATTGAATGAATCTAGAAACACAAAAAGGCTGACTACCTTCATAACACACACTGTATAATTGAAACAGTGGTTACAGTAAATGAAAAATAGTAAGGTGTGAATACTTTTGATAGTCAAAATAAATACACTCTCAAACACTGTATCATCTTTTTATGAAATGCAGGCTATATTAGTCTATCTAATAGTTAATATTAAAGATTCATTCTATCAGACGTGGTTATTGGCTCAGGATCTGTATATTGAAAATTGAATATGTAAATGAAAAAGTTCAAAATTGTTCTTGTAGATAATATAATATTAATCAAATAAAAGGCCATTTAAGTGTAAAGAGGGTACAGTTTCATGGATATGTTTCTTTGCAAGTTCACTTTTGTTATAATGTTAAGATGCTTATCACATTTGAAATCATTATCTTTAAATCATAATCTTGTGTTGTGCAATATTGGTATCCAATATTACATTTAAAGTTTATATATTTTAAATGTACTAAATTGAAAATGTATCATTACAAATGTAACTACAAAAATATTTTCTAGAGTTGAATAGTAATGACATTATATTTCAGTTTACCATAAATGCTTAATAGTACATTCAGCAGAACACTATATTTAAAAGACAAATTTATTTTATTATCGTACTCACACTCTTTTCCACAAGGGTGTGAAAACACAAAGGGGTTTATGTTTTCGATTACCTTAATGTCAATACTGTACAACTTAGTGTCTATCATTGATGAAAAATGTGAATATGAATATAAGCGTGGTCCTCTGAAATCAGCTATCAATCCGCTGAAAAATGTTATTCCCCAGCACTTTCAAACATGAACGTACAGTACATGTGTTTTAAGTTCTCAAATTCAACATTTCATACTTAAAATATATAAAATATCGTTCAAAATATAAAATACATTTCAGGATTTTTACCTCAGATTTTAAAAGCTTTTTGAAGTCTGGGGTGATATAAAAGCGAACGCCATCTATCGCCCCAGGGAGAGTGACTCCACGGAAAAACAGAATAAAGAGCATGAAGTAGGGATATGTGGCTGAGAAATACACCACCTGAGGAGGACGAGAGATAAATGAAAAGAGAGAGAGAGTTACAGAGTGAATCGTTTTAAAGTAGTTGTAGAGGACAGCATTATTAACTTGTTAGTGTAATGCTTTCGCTGGCTTCTGTTTGATGATTGGTAGGAACACGTTTTTGCTGTGTAGGATAATGACTGTCCTTAATTAGTGATGTCCATCAAGGTTATACACTTCCGGAAAATGTATTTCTTCTTCCCCAGAGCAGAGATCACATTAAAATTCAATTATCCTCAGAGAAAGGGCAGATAAAGAGAGCCATTCTCCCTTCTCTCCAGGAAAATAAATAAATAAATAATTGAAATGGCTTACAATTTAATATCAAGACATGTCCGTCGGCTACTCATCATAGTGCTTAAACTCTGCAATTCCTGCAACACTTATGTCAAGAAATGGACTTGGACAACAAGAATGTAATATGCTAAATAAATACATGTACATATGTGTATATCTAAAAAAGTAATGAGATCGAACTGAGCTTCCACAGTTGAGTTTCATTCTTCTTTTTCCTAAGGGGAAAAACAGTTCGGAAGAGATCGCAAAACTGTGCTCAGATTTGCCAAAGTCTGCAATTTAAAGTTAAAGATCTGAACTCAAAGGTTTCTCATCAAATGCTTCCAAGACCTTTTTTTAGTTCTCCTATGAATTCGCAGAAAGAAGCAAGTCAAGCAACACAATTTCATAAAACATGATTTATAACTTCATGAAGTCTACTGGGCTTTTGAAAAATCAACCTCTGATCAATAAAGCTTGCCCTGAAATGGAAAAACAAGAAGAAACCAAAAGCAAGTGTGTGAATAAATGAAATAAAAGAGAAGGCAAGAATGCACAAAGGGGGGTGAGGATAGGTAAGAAATAGGGAATACAACATTCTGCGTTGTTTCTATGAGGAATAGAAAGAATATCGCACCTTCCCCGTCCACTCCACTCCTTTCCAGATTGAGAAATAAACAAGAATCCAAGACAACGCCAAAGTTCCAACCAACGGCCAGCGCAATTCCCCTGGTTCCTCCAAACCATTTGTTAACTGATGCATGTTCCTCCTATAGAGTAAACAAATATCTGTTAGTTAGGCATTAAACATGATTATGCTTTTGTTGGTCAATGTTTTGAACGGGAAAGAAAGAAAAAGTTAAAGAAACAGTATAACCAACGCTATCTCACGACCAGTTCGTACAAGTGAGTACGAGGTGGCTACTTCACCAGCCTCACTTGTACGAATTCGAACGATTTGTCTAAACCCCAGTGATGGGTAGGTTTAGGGGCGGGGTCAGGGGTAGGTCATTCGTACGAATTCATACTAATTCACCTTTGGCTAAGCCCCGCCCCCCCTTAGTTACTGTTGCTACGTCCGACAAACAAACTTCATCTGGGCTCTGGTATCAACATGGCTTATGGTGTGACAGCTCTTCCTGCTGAAATTTTATCAAACTTTTATAAAGCAGCAAATAGAGTGTCCGATAGAAGTAGGCAAAAAGGGGCTGCAATATACGTTTGAAGGCTATATTCACGACATACAGGTGAAACGCAAGGAACAACAAGGCATCCAAATAGAGGCAAAAGCATACCGGTCACAGTCAAAAAATTACCCACCGCATATCCTACTAATCGAGACGGAGGCTGGGACTAACAATATCTGTTCATGCAAAGCTGGGTAGGTCTCTATTCACTTCTATAATCGTTATTACGAAGCAAACGGACTACGCGAGTATAACGTTGTATTTATTAGCAGCTTGTGCTAGACGACACTTGTCAGGATTTGACTTCGGTTTTGGGAAGAGAAAAAAACGCACACCCCCCTCCAACCTCTCTGGGAAACGCGTATCTGTGTTACAAATGCCCCAGGCACAACGTTTAACCATATTTTTGATAAAACTACGACGGTAATAGCCGGCCGAGACCAAAAATATGAGACGCCTGTGTTAAAGTCAATGGAGCGCTGTGAAAAAGTGTCGGACCTCTGTGGGAGCTCGTTCTTGGCTGCGCTGTGATTGGTCAATCTACATTCTAGGGTGTGGCTTAGCCAAAGGCGAATTGGACAACTGGTAAAATATGTACGATTTAGCAAAAATCATTCGAATTGCCGTGAGATTGGGTTGGTAACACATTTGCACATTCAAACATACACGTCAGGGTTTGATGTCAATGATTCCAAACTTGATTTCAATCTTGTGCATGACATAACCGATCAAATTTGTGCAAAAGCCTTCTTGTACAAGACCAAATTTGAGATTATGAGTGCTGTGGTCAAGACTTATTCATAATGCAGAAAAGGGCAGTGTGAACAACTATTGTGCTCCACAGATGAAAGTCCAATGGGTTTATTAGGTCAAGTAAATGATAACAAAACAAGACAATTATTCTCGAAGGAATCAGAAAAAGTCAGATACGAATTCTCACACACCTAAGCACATGTGCTAACCACTAAGCACAGCTCAGACAGGAAAAGATCTATTTGATCAGTGCAACAGGATTTTACCTTACAATACAACTGTATATTTTTTTGTAACACCAAACAAAGTGTTAAAATCACAATTGTGTTGACTCACTCCCAGAACTCAGTGACGGCGCTGGTCAGGTTGGTGGTGTCCATCAAACTATAGTTGGAAAAGCAGCGATCAGTGTTCCAAGGGTGATCACAAGTTTGCCATGGTAACTCCTAAGGAGAGAGAGAGAGTATTAAAATGGGTGAAGATTTGGAATACCCCTGTGAAAGGAAAGTGTGCTTCATTGTTGTCACATACACTCACCGGCCACTTTATTAGGTACCCCATGCTAGTAACGGGTTGGACCCCCTTTTGCCTTCAGAACTGCCTCAATTCTTCGTGGCATAGATTCAACAAGGTGCTGGAAGCATTCCTCAGGGAGTTTGGTCCATATTGACATGATGGCATCACACAGTTGCCGCAGATTTGTCGGCTGCACATCCATGATGCGAATCTCCCGTTCCACCACATCCCAAAGATGCTCTATTGGGTTGAGATCTGGTGACTGTGGAGGCCATTTTAGTACAGTGAACTCATTGTCATGTTCAAGAAACCAATTTGAAATGATTAGAGCTTTGTGACATGGTGGAAGTAGCCATCAGAGGATGGGTACATGGTGGCCATAAAGGGATGGACATGGTCAGAAACAATGCTCAGGTAGGCCGTGGCATTTAAACGATGCCCAATTGGCACTAAGGGGCCTAAAGTGTGCCAGGAAAACATCCCCCACACCATTACACCACCACCACCAGCCTGCACAGTGGTAACAAGGCATGATGGTTCCATGTTCTCATTCTGTTTACGCCAAATTCTGACTCTAACATCTGAATGTCTCAACAGAAATCGAGACTCATCAGACCAGGCAACATTTTTCCAGTCTTCAACTGTTCAATTTTGGTGAGCTCTTGCAAATTGTAGCCTCTTTTTCCTATTTGTAGTGGAGATGAGTGGTACCCGGTGGAGTCTTCTGCTGTTGTAGCCCATCCGCCTCAAGGTTGTGCGTGTTGTGGCTTCACAAATGCTTTGCTGCATACCTCGGTTGTAACGAGTGGTTATTTCAGTCACTGTTGCCCTTCTATCAGCTCGAACCAGTCTGGCCATTCTCCTCTGACCTCTGGCATCAACAAGGCATTTCCGCCCACAGAACTGCCGCTCACTGGATGTTTTTTCTTTTTCGGACCATTCTCTGTAAACCCTAGAGATGGTTGTGCGTGAAAATCCCAGTAGATTAGCAGTTTCTGAAATACTCAGACCAGCCCTTCTGGCACCAACAATCATGCCACGTTCAAAGTCACTCAAATCACCTTTCTTCCCCATACTGATGCTCGGTTTGAACTGCAGGAGATTGTCTTGACCATGTCTACATGCCTAAATGCACTGAGTTGCCGCCATGTGATTGGCTGCTTAGAAATTAAGTGTTAACGAGCAGTTGGACAGGTGTACCTAATAAAGTGGCCGGTGAGTGTATATGTTCTATTATGTCCCTGTGTTTTCCCTGCAGTTTGCGGTTATCATCAGTTCTCCTGGTTGTTAATCCGTTCCTGCATCTGTTCTGTTCACACTTGTAGTGTGCTTCAATAATTAAAAGAATATTTAACAAACTGTACTTGCAGGTCATATAATAATAATGAAATAAAAGGCCACGTAAGTGTATTTAAGGAGAGTACACTTTCATGCCTATGTTTCTTAACATATTTACGTACATTTTTAAAATGTGCACTTTGTAATAATGTCAAACTAAAAGTTTACCATAAACGTTTGTCAGTACATTTGACATCACACTTTAACCATATTTCAAAGATAAAAGATAAAAATTGTCCTACTTAAGTGGTTCAGCTAATTGCATTTAATACAAAACCTCAATTAAACGATAATTACATTTCCATTTAGTTGCAATTAACATGCAAATAAGTGTATGAAAATATTGCATTGAGTTTGCACTTAAGTATATTCTTTTAAAGTAGCCTATTATTTGCATTATAAGATAATAATCTTTTGAAAAGTATGCTAAGTAAGTGTTCTTCTTTGAAGTTGTTTTTTATTAGGTTACTATGCAGTTGCTAGGGTTTAAGGTGGTTACCAGGGCGTTGCTATGCTTAGTAGTTTATTATCCTCACATGCCATTTTGGTCATTTAGGTGTTCTTGGTTGTTGCTAGATGGAATGAGTTCTGACTGGTTACGGTCCCTCCTCCAATGTAAGCCTAAAGTGATCGGTTGACTTAAAGGGGTCATATAATGGTACATGCACTTTTACAAGTTGATTGTACTGAAATGTGTGTTGGCAGTGCCTGTACACAACCATCATATAATGATACAAATCCATCCAGTGGTTTTGTTTTAATCTCCTTATATGTTTTCCCCTGCCTCAAATCGAGCCGTTCGAGCCTGTGACGTCACAAGCTCGCACGCCCCTCCCACGATTGTTGATTGACAGGAGCGTTTCAACACAGACCCGCCCTCGCTCGTGAGCCAGCTGTCAATCATAGTCCGCGCGGACCGGCACGGTCATAGTTGATATGCTGGAGCACTGTCTATGAGCAGAATGGCGTCTAAGCGATTGTGGTGTTCTGTTCTTGGGTGTAATAACGAACACAGCAGTCATTTTAATGTTCCTAAATCCGAACCGCTGAAAACGCAGTGGCTGTGTTTGTTTTCGAAGGGAATATTCCCCACGAGCAACGTCAATGCTTTCATGTTTGCGCGAATCATTTCACACACCAGACTGCTTTATAAACGAGGATCAGTATAAAGCTGGATTTGCTAAGAAGCTGCTCCTGAAAAAAAGGATAGGTACCAGATATTCGTGTTCCTGCTGAATCTCCAGAAGAACGGAAGTGAGTGTAACGTTTTATTAAACTTTATAGTAATATATTAATCTTTGCAAATCGCTAGCTGCACGCTTCACAATGAATGCGTCTAAGGTTTACACTCAGGGTACATTACGGCATGTTTTCTATGTATGACGTTCTCAATATAATTCATAATCCCACGTTCATACTGAACAACGCGTTATGGTTATTGTGTTATTGTGTTACAAATGGTGTACGCACAGAACAGAGAGGCGGGGTGAGCAAAGCTCATTATCATTTAAAGTCATATACACTGAAACGGCGTGCTGAAAACAGAGCTGTTTTTGACCAAGTAAAATAAGTGTTTTCTTACAATACTATAATGAGAATTTTTAATTAAAGTATATTACAAACTTTTAATTTAGACCCTAAAGAATCATATTTGCTTGTACAAAAATGGCATTATATGATCCCTTTAAAGGTGCACTATGTAGGAATTCCATTTTTGTCAAACAGCGACCCCTAGAGTTGCTGTGGAGTACTTGTACTGTCGTAAATAGCACTCACGCAGAGATGGCTCTGCACTCACGGCCTGATCCCCTCCCCCTGTACACCGGTACCTGTTCAGTAGGATGGACGCTGTAACGAGTTGAAATAAGGTGTGGCCCCTTTAAGAGCTGCCGTAAAGCAATTCGTTACATTGCGAGATCTGATATCACGCGACACTTCCTGATGCTGCGGCCGGCGACCCGCCGGCTCAAAGTTGCAAGTGTGTTTTTTCCGCTCACATGCGATAGGGGGGTGCGAAACGACCACCATTCGACCCGAAAAGAGTAATATAACCATTCCAATGACTCCGAAGCTGTTCGGTTGATGTAAAAAACCTGCATAGTTCACCTTTAACTTAAATAACAGAGAAACCCTGTTGCCTTAAAAATTAGAAAATAAACTTCATGTGTAATTGAAAAAAAAATTGTTATGTGGAATTGTCAAGTTCACATTACTTATTTCTTTCAATTATGAAGTTTATTTTCTTAATTTTAAGGCAACAACCTGTTTAATTCTAAGTGTCAGAAAATGGCTGTGGATAAATAAACAACTGTTCATGGTCATTAAGTCAACCGATCACTTTTTACAGTGTACTGTGGCTTTAAGGCTTATATATTCAAAGGGATAGTTCAACCTAAAATTTATATTCTGTCAAAGAATTTTTCCCACTCCATTTCAGTCCACCAGACAAATGTTTTAAAAATTATTTGTTCAAATATATATATATATATATATATATATATATGGAAAATAAAAAAGTATTAAAAAATAACAGCACTATGCATTCATAAAACAAAGGCCTTTTTTGTTTCAGATTCCCTCTGCACTGCTTTAGAGACAAGCTCTTATTCCCATGGCAGAAACTGCACTTCGATTTCCACAAAACAGAGGCAGTTATTATTTCTGTGGAGCCTTTAAAACACTCTCTAGAGCAAAGACACAGCCACAGAAAGCTTAAGGGGGTCAAGGAGGCGGAGAGAGATACAGAGAAAAGGGAGGAAGAGAGAACTTGAAAGAAGGAACAATTCTGAGAAGACTTTCAAGAAATTCCAGGCGTAGCTGAATTCACTGGAGCAGATTAAGACACGGATGGTGAGAATTAACACCACAAAACCTATTTGACCAATGAATGCAATTAAAAAATGATTGTGATAGCCTAACATTTTTTCATTAAGTAATCAAATGATTATTTGGAGATCAAAGGATAACATGTAACAAACAAAACCCCAACATTCTTATGCAAAAAATTGATGAGCCATTTTTAAATGCGGATATTCATAATACAACCCCAAATTTGTAAAATTCGATAACATATTTTTTCTCTGAAAATAAAAGTTTTCACTGACCAACTTAAGTGTATTTTGTAAATATGAACAAATTTTGATTTTGTGTGTGTGTGTGTGTGTGTGTGTGAGAGAGAGAGAGAGAGAGAGAGAGAGAGAGAGAGAGAGAGAGAGAGAGAGAGAGAGAGAGAGAGAGAGAGAGAGAGAGAGAGAGAGAGAGAGAGAGAGAGAGAGAGAGAGAGAGAGAGAGAGAGAGAGAGAGAGAGAGAGAGAGAGAGAGTAGAATGCATATTGGTGACTTTGTGTTTTGTGATAGACACTCACTGCTTTGAAAGAGCTGAAGAGGTAGTAGAGAGCCCAGGCAATGATGACGATGTAATAGATGTTGAGCCAGAAGGACAGAACCACAGCAGCCAGACCCACACCTGACACAAGAGGAGCTTATGATTGAAACATCAGGTGATGAAGCACAAATTACAAATGACAAAAAGTTTATGCCAAGACACATAGATTGTAGAAGCCTTGCAGAATAAACACAGTGAATTAATGTTGCATGTGACTTTCGGAGAACCATCTAGACACAACTGAAAATAGTAGCCACTATCTTTAAATTAAATATCACTGCTGTTTGCAGAAAGGGTAAGATTAGTCAACGCATTCTCATCCCAAGGGGTCATAAACTGACACTTTTGACATTTCGTCTAAATCCAACACACATGGCACCCTTTAGCGTCAATATAGTTATGGGTAGGTTTAGGTCTGGGGTAGGGTTAGGGTTAGACCACTAGGAGGCGCCTTCTGGCCCATATATATCTGCGTCTCATATTGACGCTAAAGGGTATGGAGGGATTATTGGGTCAGATTGAAAACTAAAAGTCTAAAACTAAAAGTCTTAAACGAAAACCAAAAGTCTAAGTTTGAAACTAAAAGTCTAAGTCGAAAACTAAAAGTCTAAGTCAAAAATGAATTTGGTATTTAGGATTGGGCATTTGGTATTTAGGATAGGGCATTTCGTATTTAGGATTGGGCATTTGGTCATTTAGCCATTTAGGATTTAGGATTGGGCATTTAGGGATTTAGGATTGGGCATTTAATCATTTAGCCATTTAGGATTGGGCATTTGAGGATTGAGGAGTGTATGCAAATAAGGAGGCGTGGCCCAAATACTGGAGGCTGGGTTTGAAATGGCTGGTGCAGATGCACCTTATGGACAGCAGAGGGAGCTCCAGTGCTAAGGAGCACACTGTAATGAAACCAAACAGAGCGAGTGAGCAGGTCTGGAGCGAGGACTGTACTTTATAATGTGATAACTTCAACTTAATGACAGCGTTGTATAGGGGTACTGGAACGGTACATGTATTCCTATTGAACCGAAACGGTAGCCTACGGGCGTCACGGTTCGGTGCACGAATTTACACGGAGAATACACGGTATAAAAATAAATAAAACTCTAAATAGCGATCCATTTCGCTGTATTCGCGTTTGGTGTGAACGCAGCATAATAAACAGGCTGCGACGTCAAGGTTGCAATGTTAAGTGTGTGCGCGAAGTTCAAACTGTAAAGTGTGTATATTTGTATACACTCGCAATAAAATACAACATTGTGCTTTTGTCACACTCTAAAATCGTGTCAAACTGTAACCTACAACTGTCACCCAACCAAAATCACTCACACACACACACACACACACACACACACACACACACACACACACACACACACTCTCTCTCTCTCTCTCTCTCTCTCACACACACACACACACACACCTAGTTCGATCGCGCCCGCGCCTCCCCCTCTCTCTCTCTCTTTCTCTCGCGCGCACACACACACTCCAGCATTGCTATCTTGATATCGCAGCCTGTTTATTATGCTGCGTTCACACAAAACGCGAATAGAGCGAAATGTATCGCAATTTAGAGTTTTATTTATTTTTATACCGTGTATTCTCCGTGTAAATTCGTGCACCGAACCGTGACGCCCGTAGGCTACCGTTTCGGTTCAATAGGAATACATGTACCGTTCCAGTACCCCTATACAACGCTGTCATTAAGTTGAAGTTATCACATTATAAAGTACAGTCCTCGCTCCAGACCTGCTCACTCGCTCTGTTTGGTTTCATTACAGTGTGCTCCTTAGCACTGGAGCTCCCTCTGCTGTCCATAAGGTGCATCTGCACCAGCCATTTCAAACCCAGCCTCCAGTATTTGGGCCACGCCTCCTTATTTGCATACACTCCTCAATCCTCAAATGCCCAATCCTAAATGGCTAAATGATTAAATGCCCAATCCTAAATCCCTAAATGCCCAATCCTAAATCCTAAATGGCTAAATGACCAAATGCCCAATCCTAAATACGAAATGCCCTATCCTAAATACCAAATGCCCAATCCTAAATACCAAATTCATTTTTGACTTAGACTTTTAGTTTTCGACTTAGACTTTTAGTTTCAAACTTAGACTTTTGGTTTTCGTTTAAGACTTTTAGTTTTAGACTTTTAGTTTTCAATCTGACCCAATAATCCCTCCATAAAAGGGTGCCATGTGCGTTGGATTTAGACGAAATGTCAAAAGCGTCAGTTTATGACGCCTTGGGATGAGAACGGGCTGGATTAGTATGCTATTCGAAATTTAGCCAGTGGCTGCTTCTCAATATGCGTTCTCATGTGATCTTGTGTCCTTGTCTTCTCGTACCATCGATGTTCAATTCCAAAACTGAAGAACGCAAGAACAGAGGATGCGTGTAAAGCGCTTTGAGTGCCAAGAAAAGCACTATATAAATGTAATGAATTATTATTATTATTATTACCCGGATGTGTTCATGACATCAAAGATGCATTGAGTGCAGACTTGAGAGAATCAAACCTTTAGAAATCCCACAAGTTCTTTCGTTCCTAAAATTGACAACAGATAGGTCCTATGCAATCTGCTAGCAATCACATCATTTACCACATGACAAAAGTTGATTGGTCTTTGCAGATTCTGCAGCCAATGAGCTTGCTTTTTCAACATTTAAATAGTCTGGTTCAGTGTTTGCTGTAAGCTGGTCCTGCAGTGCGCTATCAGATATCCTCTGTGAACCCTCTACCTCCCCCAGCTCCACCTGCCTAGATCTGCTTCAGGATTTATATATGCCTGTTCATGCTGCAGCAGCATATCTTAAATGCACACTGCAGCTTGTCTGGGTGTCATTGGCACTCTCAAGTCCATACTTGCTCAGCAACAGCATGCTCATCAGATCTGGTCGCCAATACCAAATACATTTACATTGTCATATCCATTACACATGCTAAAACTATTGTGAGAGTGAATTTTCCGAAACACGCTTGAAACTGTTGTCCAATCACAACTGGTCCATTCGATTCAAAACTAAAGAGAGCGTTACAGGGAAGAGAGGAGCTGCGATAATGTAAAATCAAGACTGATAAAGTTCATAATAGGTCCTCTCTGCGCTGTTAGAGTCACCAAATAGAACTACAACATTACTGACTCAAAAAAGTTTAAAACAAACCCCATCTGCCATTGGTTGAAAAAAAAAAAAAAAATTCCACCACTAGACATTGGTTTAATGTTATTATAACAAATTATGGCTGCTAAAACAGATTGTAATTTGATGACGGTACAAAACATGCAGTGAGGCAATGGTACTCAGTAAGAACTCCCCAAATAGCTAAAGTGTATGTAAATATTTCTCACCTTTCATCATGGGTATTAATTTCCATACTCCCAGCCCCCCTACTGACGTGTACTGTCCTAATGCCGTCTCTAGCAGAAACAGCGGGATACCAGCAAACACCAGAGTAGTGAAGTATGGGATGAGAAAAGCTCCTAAAGACAAAGTAATACAAAATTCACTTGTAAAGGTTTTTTTGATTTCAGACTTGACTTCTGTGTAAAACATCTGCATTAAGATCCAAACAAACTTTGATATGGTCTCACACCACCTCTTCAATTGAATTCTGAGATTGCTCACATTAGACATGTGAACAGTCTCTCAGAGCCACTTTAAGGTGAGCCAAGAGGCCATTTTTTAATGGAAGTCGATGGAGGAGATGTTTCAGTACGCTAAATAAACTGCTTTTGAGAGGAAGCAGCTTATCGGCTAATGAATTGACAGTCTGTCTGCTAATCTTCAACATGTTTACCATTAACCATTCATTTTGGATTCATCTATATTTTCCCTTTTAAAACATACCAAATTTCTAAATACAAAATTAGCATCTAGAAGAAAAGAAAAATAATTGGAGCATGATTCTGTGTGCCAGATTTGGTCAATCACCTTTTGGATAGCTGAAATGTATTTTGGTGTTTGGTACAGTAGTCACTGGGTTATATCCTCTACAGTAGAAACTTGTGAAATCATTTCACTTGGAATGGCTGGTTGTCTTGCCGGTCAAGCTAGTTAAGAAATCTGATAAGAACCAAGGCACACCAACATCCCATGATACGGACCAGCACCATAAATGTAACAAATGCTAGTAATCATCCCTGCAGTCACGACTGTTTCCTAAAACCATTAGTGACTTTGTCTCACATCCATTGTTCAAGCCACATTGGTTCAACAATATATAACTGGCATTAATGGCATTGTCACACAGGCAGTGGAGTAATAACGTATGCTAATTTATCTGTTTGAACTCAAGTAAATGTCAGATTATTGCTGTAACGAATATGGCATCTGAGTACTATTCCAACTACAGAATTTTACTATAAATATGCACTACAAACTATAGATTGTACTGCATATTAGCTTGCTTACTTTGCTCAAGAGCTTGATCTAAGTCCATGTCATGTCAAACTGTGTTTATAATCAATTTTCCAGGATGTTTGCGAATGTTTGTTGGAACTATGATTTTGGGAAACACATTCAACTAACAACGGAACTTGCGACCATAGTTGGTATGCTTTTGGGAAACACACCGCTGGTCTTTTCCGTAGAAAAAAAAGGGGTGGATATTCTACAATATAAAATTACACATCCCCATCAAGCTTCTTCAAACTCTTTCTGGGTCATGGGAACAACATTTATTGGTCCTGGCACAATATTCTTGTCAAACTAAGTCCTATTCTATCCCTCACCTAAACTAACCATTAACTACACCAAAAATCAGAGGCAAATGTTTGATTAAATAACAAAAATGCTATTCAAACCCCAACCCCAGCCCTAAACCTACTCCAAAAATTTGGAAAGCGTATTGATCCAACCAGGCATATCTTCTCAGCAGCTTAACAGTAATAGCTTTATCTTCTCTTACCTCCACCATTCTTTCCGCAAAGATATGGGAACCTCCACACATTTCCAAGCCCAATGGCATATCCAACGCAGGACAGCAGAAAGTCAAATTTTCCCTTCCACGCTCCTCTGTCTGGTACTTTATTCTCCTTCTCCTCTTCTACAGGAACACTGTTGTGACGGAGGTCCTCAAACGGGATAGCCTGCTTCACATCTGAGGGTGAGTTGAGGTCCACCGTGCTCTGGCCAGTCTTCCCCATCACAGGAACACCGTCACACCACCGTCAGATAATAATCCACCTCAGTCCAGTAATGTATTATTGAGTTGTCAAGTGCAGGGCTACTGACTGTGAATGTTTGCTCATTCAAACACACTTCGAATGGGATTTCTGAGAAAAAAACAAATATTTGACAGTGTAAAAATGAAAATTTTAGAATTTTACTGTGAAATCAATGCAGGTTAGATCTTTTTTTTCAGCAGTAAACCATTGATAAGAACTGGAAGTGGTAATGTTGTAGCACATTATAGTTTAGAATTTGATAAACAACTGGGGTTATAACATAGTTATGTTATCACACTATTAATGTGTAAATATACAGTATGAGATAATTACAATGTAGACATGGATAATCATTGTGATTCCGCAGCACAATGGTGCTGCAATCATCATGTCTTGCTATACTCCACTGTGATGACAGTTGTCAAAAATTACTATTGTAAAAGTATGGGAAAGATTTTTTCACAAATATACTGTAATGTACTGTACATTTTGTAGAAAAATGTTCTATGTTTTTATGTAAACGATAAAATAAAGGCTCATAATTTTGTACAAGGATTACATAGGCCCTATCCCAACCACTCGTGGTCTTCCTACGAGTCCGCACTTTCGTGACGTAACGCTGCTTTGACTGTCGGGAAGAAGTCTGCTGCGGAGCTCGCTTCAAACCTCAGAACTCAAACCCTACGGTTTCATGGACTTAACGGACACGCGCATGCGGCAGCCATTTTAAGTCCACAAGACTGAAAGTGCATATAAAGTGTGCCATTTGTGACAGGGCCATAGGGGTGTATAGGTTAATTAGGTTCATATTTACAATTTCTTATACTGGCAACTTATGCTTTGTGATCAATATACAGTAAGATACAGAATTAAAACTACATGTCTGTTTGTTTTACTTGTATAGCATCTGTATAAATTGTCCTAGCTCTACTCAACCTTGTAATTTCACTTTAAATCCAATTAAAACACCTTCATTCTACAGACGGGGAAGTTCAAGAAAATCATTAACTTTCCTGACAGACGTGCTGATTATCAGATTGACTTAATGAAGACACTAATTCTTGCCAATGTCCTGATGTGTTGAATTCATCAACTTTTATTTGTGATTAACTGCCTTGAAAGTCTCCAACCTGCATGCCAATGCATAACAAAATCGCCCTCGGATTCCTCATTGTTTTCGTTTAAAGAACAGTCATTATACATCTGGAAACAGTATCATTAAACCATGGTTATTCACAGTAAGCCATTCAATGTGAATCAAGTTTGCTTCAGGCTCACAGAGTGTTTGAAAAATCTCCAACATTTACCCTGCATTCTTCAACGGCTTTTAAGTGGCTACAAGCTTCAGAGGAAATTGAATACAGATGTATTGCTCAAGGTTTGCATCAATAGACAATAGAGTTCCCAGCTCATTAAATTTTTAATACTATAAAAGAAGGAATAAACTGTACCTCTGAGATGTCTTTATTCTGCAGTCAGGTGAGTCGAGATGCCACCAGCTAGAGGTGAACTCAAACGTATCAACAAGTGACTTAACAGATCTTAACTGTTGGACTATGCCAACTACCCAGCGCCTTCATTCACAACAGAACCAAAAGAAACTGACCCAATGTCCCGGCTAGGGCAAAAAGTTTCCCTTTGTCTCTCTCGCTCTATGTATCTGGAGGGGCCTTCTATGCCCTGGTGTTCCTGTGGCTGGTATTGAGCTGCAGATAATAAACTTCGACCTGTTGTTTGATAGGATTATCGCTTTACCACACTGAGAGCCCGAGGCTACCAAATAAGAGTCGATTGCCGTGATCCAATATTTTGTGCGTGCGTGTGTGTGTGTATCAGTTGTGTGTCAGTGTGTGCTTTTGTGTGCAACGACTCTTGTGCCAGTCTGGTTGCCATGGGATATCCCCTTAGAAAAGTGCTCCGTTCTAACATTGAAAGAGCTTGTAAGGATTTGAAAATGAAGCAGGCATAGTGCCTAAAATACAGACAGCATGATGTCTCCCAAAAATGACCTCAAAGGCATGACTTTATCAGTTCCTATGTATACCAGGCTCCTATTTATGACTGATACATTTATAATTGGCTTGTAAAAGATATAAAATCAAACCAATAAATGCTTTATAGGCCTATACTGCAATGCAACTGTTTAACTGACCATATGTGTGGTTTACAAGAACTTATTAGATGAGGATATGTTTGCTTAAAGATGTGAAATAAAATATTAATGAAGACAATAATGTGAAATTCTGTTGCAAAGATTTTATGTACTGTTGTAGTAATATCATAGTAATTACATAGCAATACATTGAGTTATAAGGCGCATCTACATCTACTAAATCTCACATGATCAAATAGTAATTGATAATGAACTCTTTTATTTGAAAGTAAGATGATGAGTCTTTGAGTAAGGTGTGAAAGTATAGTTTGCTGTAGCAATACATCTGTACCAATTAGTCTCTTCTATAGCCAGGGACACACCAAGCTGACGGTCGCCGTTGGGTAACGTCGGGCCATTATTGAGTGTCGTCCGACTTAGTTTTTACAGTGTGTTCCGCACCGTTGGCTGTAGTCTGACGTCGTCTGTTTTTTATTTATTTTTTGGTCCATTTAACACGTAGAATCTGCGTCGGGCCATCGGTGAGAGAGAGAACTCTGATTGGCTGTTCAAGTTTAGCAAACGAGCCACCTTGATGCACAGAGCAGCCCAAATGTTCTCCAAAGCATCTGCCTGGAAGATTTCAGTAATGCCAAAAGATTGAAAAGTAATTCAGAGAGGTTGACTAGCTGTTCAAGTGCATTTATCAACCCAGGCTCAAGTTTGAAAAAACATACCTGTGGCAACATTTTTGCAAAACGCAAAATACGTTGCGTCGTGCACGTTTCTCGACAGTTTCAAAGTGAAATGTCCAGTGAGTGGCACTAAAAACGTTTAGTTTTCCGGAACAGATGAACGTGAACATGGCAATGTTTTATTACGTCGGAGTTTGTACGTATCACTGCAGTTCGTGTGTGGCGCTGTGTGTGGCGCTAAAAGATTAATGTTCCATCACGTTTCATAATAACGTACACCTACACTATATTATTATACCCTAAACCTAGTGTTAGCGAAAGCAAATGCGACATAAAAACGTTATCGTAACCATAGTATTTAAACTTGTTTTTTAACTTTGAGCTCTTATATCGTGACTTGTCTTTCACAGGATTTGTACCCGAGCTCTTCGCATCACAAGTACAATTCTGTACCAACTGAGCTACTGCAGGGATATGTACGTATTGGTACGTATTTTGCGTTTTGCAAAAATGTTGCCACAGGAACGTTTTTCCAATGAGTATGGGAGGCAGGTTGGACACCCCTGATTTAGAGCATCTTCTAAAGAAAATAACAATGTGCCTCCATGCAGGAATGACAAAGATCACGGCCAAGTGCATTCGGATACCCAAACACCACATTTTTATGTTAATAAAAAAATCATGGACATGAATGGAAAGTTTGTCCTCCCTTTGCTGCCACAACAGTTTTCCACTACAGTAGATGGTGGAACATGGCTCCGGGGATTTGATCCCATTCAGACACAAGAGCATCCAGTGAGGTCATACACTAATGCTGGGTGATGGGCAAAAAAATAATCCCACAAACATGACGACACAAAGGGGGTGAGATAAGTTAACCCCAAAGTTTAAAACTAGAGTTAGAGCTGGCTGGGTTGAAAGAAGAAACATCCAACATTCCAGTTGGAGTTTGCCTGAAGTCATGTTATAAAACTCTTATCCTTACTCTTTACAGACAATGTCATTTATAGATTCTCCCAAAAAGTCACCAGCTATGTTTCCATCCACATATTTGTATGCAAATTTTGGGATATACAACCTATCCGCTCAATTGACGGGAATTTATTTTATCCGATAAGAAGACATGCACATAAACTATGCTGGAAACACAAACATTTGTATGGGACTTTGCCTCAACAGATCATGTGATTGGATACTTGTTTTAGAAAAATTGCTCAGAAAACTGGTTTTGCTGATGCCAAATGTCTCCCCCACAACTCTGGATTTGGCGCATGTGGCTATCTTATACATTGCAATGATAATGCATTTATTTCTGCCAGAACTGTGGGACGGTGGGACGGTGGAACGGCATAACTGGACTAACCAGCAGACTAATTTCATTACACACCATCTCAAATGTTGTTTTAATCATTCTGAAATGCCTGAACCAAAGTTTGTCATCAAAATGATTTGGTATAATTACCTCCCAGAACTGTCTCACACGATTGCATTCCCAAACATCAGGCATCCGCCTCCAAACGCTGTCACGTTATATTGAGTTTCATCTGTTTGCTCTGAAGCGCAAGTAATTTATTATGTAGGAATAAAGAGCCACATTGGCTTCCCCGTTTGCAGCAACCTCCACTTTTATTATTGATACTTTGCGCCGGTTTCCCAGGAAGTGACACATGGGATGGAAACAGTGCTTTATTCACAGATGTTTTAAGCTAAATGCACATTTTTGCATACGTTAAATTTGAAACAAAACATTGATTTGTTTGTTTGAGCTACTAGCCTGACACGGCAGCACAGATTCAACCAAAAACTTTGGTAACACTTTATTTTGATGGTCCCTTTTGAACATTATGTTAACTATAAGTAACTTTGCAACTACATGTCAACTAACTCTCATTAGAGTATTGGTGTACTGTCCGCTTAATATCTGCTACGTAACTCTTTATTGTGATGGTCCTCTAACAGACAATCTACTATAAGTAACTTTGCAACTACATGTCAACTTATTCTCACCCAAACCCTACCAGTCTACTAATACTCTACTAATACTCTACTAATACTCTACTAATACTCTAATGAGAGTTAGTAGACATGTAGGTGCAATGTTACTTATAGACATCAGAATGTGTTAAAGGGACCATCAAAATAAAGTGAAAAACTTCAGTTTGCAGTCTGTAGGACTATCTGTTCGCTGACCAGTGGCAGATGGGGTCAAGGTTTGAATCCACTGCCAAAGCAATCTCTTTCCAGTCTCAATCAAATGCTGGGCGAGTAACCTCACAATTCCAT